AACAATAATAAAAATTTATAATAATGATAATAATAATAAATTTAATAACATAATTGGTAACAATAATAATACATTATTATTTTTTGGACAATATAAAACAAAACTACAAACACAACATGGAACGCCTGACACATACCAAAATTGAACTTACAGTAATATACATATGGTAATACCACAGCATTCTGCTACAAGCAACACAATGCAGCAGGACCGGTAGACCATTTGTTAATAACAGAAAGGACGCGATATCATTCAAAATCTCTAAAGATCACAAACAGAGATGTTTATACTGTACAGATACGGTGTCCATATGCTGACAAATCCATCCCCTGTGGAGTGACTAAGACATGTTAGAAGTTCAAGAGGAAAAGTCTCTTTGATAACCGAATACTATGCTTTTACAGAAGGGGTTTATCACTGATCCACGACATTAATAAATTCTTCCTGGCAGCAAAAGTTATCAGTCAAAACAAGTGCTTGTTACGAATCGGTCTGCAAGGAAAACCCAGGTGAAGGACAGAGGCTGCCTCTGACAGTAATTTAATTACAATAACTCGTTACTATATGTACCCAACAGCAAAAACCCTCCATGGTGCCCATTTACGATCGCAGAGTAAAGCTCCGCCTCCAAACATCCTACCAGCCAATCAGAGACTTCCATTAGACACACCCACATACCGGAATTTGCCACGCTGGATGAGCAGCCACAGAGTTCCCCCATGGGTCACGGAGCTGGAGGAGGGCAGAAGTCAGACAGAGGTCAAAGATCACTCAGGAGAGGACGTCAGCCTGAGGGAGCTGCGTTTACAACACACACACTCAAACACGCTCCAGACGGCAAACACACCACCCCTTTTTAAAGGTACGCAGTATTAAACAGACATTTCACCAGGGGCAATGCTAGACATGAAGCTCTACTGGGGCTTAGCACCCCCTCCAAAAAACATAAATAAATTAATTAATAAAAAATAAATAATATACACTTAAAGTCAGAATTATTCGCCCCGTTTATATTTTCCCCAATTTCTGTTTAACGGAGAGCAGATTTTTTCAGCACATTTCTAATCATAATAGTTTTAATAACTCATCTCTAATAACTGATTTATTTTATCTTTGCCATGATGACAGCACAAAATATTAGACTAGATATTCTTTAAAGGGCACCTATGGTTTTCAGGCTATTTGGACAAACATATGTGTATATATAGTGTATAGACCTTCATATTGGGGTGATATAAACACACACAGCCCTTTTTTTTTCAACTTAACAACATAAAAACGGTGGACCAATTAGAGCGGTTTTCAGACCGACTGCAACTTTACGTAGGAGTGCGGTCACCCCGCCCACCAATATTGATTGACAGCTGCGCGCATTAACATGTTCTGGTAGTCACGTGTATATGTCAACAAGACCAGGCAGACATACACAAAGCAACCGGGAATAAAAGGTCTGTTCAGTTCGCTAGGATCAGCAATCATCATCAAATGTGATTAGGAGTGAGTTTCACATGTTTAAAGTGTTTTAAAACAGAGTATGTGTGTAATGAACTACAGCGATTTACTTCAGCTTTACTTCATCAGCACAGCCGCATGTCAGATCAATTATAAAAGAAGACGCTTCAATCCCGGTTTGTGGAAGTTAAATCAGGTTTATTTTGTACAATAGCATAACAGATATCCACACAGCAAAATTGAACTTACAGTAATATACATATGGTAATACCACAGCATTCTGCTACAAGCAACACAATGCAGCAGGACCGGTAGACCATTTGTTAATAACAGAAAGGACGCGATATCATTCAAAATCTCTAAAGATCACAAACAGAGATGTTTATACTGTACAGATACGGTGTCCATATGCTGACAAATCCATCCCCTGTGGAGTGACTAAGACATGTTAGAAGTTCAAGAGGAAAAGTCTCTTTGATAACCGAATACTATGCTTTTACAGAAGGGGTTTATCACTGATCCACGACATTAATAAATTCTTCCTGGCAGCAAAAGTTATCAGTCAAAACAAGTGCTTGTTACGAATCGGTCTGCAAGGAAAACCCAGGTGAAGGACAGAGGCTGCCTCTGACAGTAATTTAATTACAATAACTCGTTACTATATGTACCCAACAGCAAAAACCCTCCATGGTGCCCATTTACGATCGCAGAGTAAAGCTCCGCCTCCAAACATCCTACCAGCCAATCAGAGACTTCCATTAGACACACCCACATACCGGAATTTGCCACGCTGGATGAGCAGCCACAGAGTTCCCCCATGGGTCACGGAGCTGGAGGAGGGCAGAAGTCAGACAGAGGTCAAAGATCACTCAGGAGAGGACGTCAGCCTGAGGGAGCTGCGTTTACAACACACACACTCAAACACGCTCCAGACGGCAAACACACCACCCCTTTTTAAAGGTACGCAGTATTAAACAGACATTTCACCAGGGGCAATGCTAGACATGAAGCTCTACTGGGGCTTAGCACCCCCTCCAAAAAACATAAATAAATTAATTAATAAAAAATAAATAATATACACTTAAAGTCAGAATTATTCGCCCCGTTTATATTTTCCCCAATTTCTGTTTAACGGAGAGCAGATTTTTTCAGCACATTTCTAATCATAATAGTTTTAATAACTCATCTCTAATAACTGATTTATTTTATCTTTGCCATGATGACAGCACAAAATATTAGACTAGATATTCTTTAAAGGGCACCTATGGTTTTCAGGCTATTTGGACAAACATATGTGTATATATAGTGTATAGACCTTCATATTGGGGTGATATAAACACACACAGCCCTTTTTTTTTCAACTTAACAACATAAAAACGGTGGACCAATTAGAGCGGTTTTCAGACCGACTGCAACTTTACGTAGGAGTGCGGTCACCCCGCCCACCAATATTGATTGACAGCTGCGCGCATTAACATGTTCTGGTAGTCACGTGTATATGTCAACAAGACCAGGCAGACATACACAAAGCAACCGGGAATAAAAGGTCTGTTCAGTTCGCTAGGATCAGCAATCATCATCAAATGTGATTAGGAGTGAGTTTCACATGTTTAAAGTGTTTTAAAACAGAGTATGTGTGTAATGAACTACAGCGATTTACTTCAGCTTTACTTCATCAGCACAGCCGCATGTCAGATCAATTATAAAAGAAGACGCTTCAATCCCGGTTTGTGGAAGTTAAATCAGGTTTATTTTGTACAATAGCATAACAGATATCCACACAGCACTGGAGGTTAGCCTGTATCCTGTCACATTTGAGTGCAAAAACAGTGCTAAGCTAAGCGCGCTCTGTCTGTCTGCATGCCTGCTTGTGTGTGTGTGTGTGTGTCAGCTGCGGTGTGCGTGTGTATCTCTTTGTGTGTGTGTTAGGGCTGCTCGATTATGGGAAAAATCATAATCACGATTATTTTGGTCATAATTGTAACATGATTATTCAAAACGATTATCAGTTGAAGTCAAAATTATTCGTCCTCCTGTAAATTTATTTTTATATATAAATATTTCCCAATTGATGTTTAACAGAGGTTTATTACAGTATTTCCTATAATATTTTTTCTTCTGGAGAAAGGCTTATGCGTTTTATTTCAGCTAGAATAAAAGCAGGTTTGAATATTTTGAAACCTATTTTAATAGCTCGATATTATTAGCCCCTTCAAGCAAGATGTTTGATTGTCTGCAGAAGAAACTACTGATATACAATGACTTGTCTATTTACCCTAATTAAGACTTTGAATGTCACTTTAAGCTGAATACTAGTATCTTGAAAAATATCTAGTAAAATATAATGTGCTGTCATCATAGCAAAGATAAAAGAAATCAGTTATTAGAAATGACTTATTAAATCTGTCACGTTTAATCTGCGCTTTAAGCATCTTCACTGTATTTTTCATTTTATTATTGATTAATAATAAAAACAGTCAGCAGTCACTTTAAGAATAGTGCGGCTCTGATATGGTTTCTCTTTCTTGTGTCTTTTGATTCTCAAGTTGTTAGTTTATTACACAAATGAGGGTTAATATGAATAATCACTAAACACTGCGCTCTGACACAAGTGTGCATGTATTTGACCATTAAAGCGCTCACATTAAGATCGCGTTAGATGTGTGTGTGCTCTGCTGTCCGAGGATAAAGCCTGATTTATACTTCTGCGTCAGGTGACCGGCGTAACCCACGGCGCAGGCAACGCGCGTGGCTGTGCATTTATACTTCTGCACGCTGTCTCTGTGGGTCTGCATTAACACTTCTGAAACGCTAGTGGGCAGTGAGGTGTAAATGTTCCTCTGTGTCGAGTTTCTTCGCTGCTTTTTTGCTTTACCTGAACACTTCCGGGATGTACAAGTGGCTCAAACTCGCTCATTTTGAGGCAGGAACCGGAGCTCCTTCACGGGACTCCACACTTGTAAACAATCGCTCGTGATATTCGCGCGGCTCTCGGTCCCGCCCAGACTCGTCAGCGCTACCAAGCCGACCAATCACAGAGCTTACGCTACGCGTCGTTGCGACGTGTAGTTACATTTTTTGAGAGGTGCACGTCAGTGACGGCGATGGCCACGGCGAAGGGCTATGCGTCAGTGCCGTAGCATACGCCGGCGTTTGACGCAGAAGTATAAATCAGCCTTAAGCGCGGCGCGGAAACACACACACACGCTCATGTCCGAGACTAAGCACGGCGCACACACACACAACAGCACGTGCTCTTTTGCGCTTTTAAAAATATGAATGATGCACATCCGATGCTGCAAAAGTTGCATTACAGCACATACATTTAGTCATTTTCACGTGGAACTGAGCTTTGCACAACTGGAAAGGGGGCGGTATGTGATGGAATAATCGCTTATCTCGATTATTGCTTTTTCATAATCGTTAAAAGCCGAAATCGAAATCGAAATCGGATTTTCGATTAATTGCACAGGCCTAGTGTGTCTGTGTGTGCTTGCGCGCGTGAACTTTGTAACGATATTTCGTGTGACTCATCAATGCAACTTCACAATACTGATTAGTAAAGGTTAGTTCTTACTGTAGTATTTCTCACAAACGCTACGTGAGTCCTTCCTCCTTAAAGTCTGTCTGTTGTCTGACGCAGCAGAGGGAGGAGATTAAAGCACGCGGGAAGGCACGTAGAAACAGTAGGCGGGCAGAACTCGCCTTAAAGGCGCAGTACGACAAAACCACCCCTGCTGGAAATCAGTATAAAACAGCATCTTGTAAAAGGTGCAATGAAAAATCTGATGGGTGTTTTGAGCTGAAACTTTATATACACATTCTAGAGACGCAAAAGGCTTATATTAAATCTGAAAAAAGGGGAAACCTAGGTGCCCTTTAAGACTTCTATACAGCTTAAAGATGCATTTAAAGGCTTAACTAGAGTAATTGGGTTAACTAGGCAGGTTAGGGTAATTAGGCAAGTTATTGTATAATGATGGTTTGTTCTGTTGACTATCAGATAAAAAATATATATATAGCTTAAAGGGGCTAATAATTTTGACCTTAAAATGGTCTTTTAAAAAATAAAAACTGCTTTTATTCTAGCCGAAATAAAACAAATGAGACTTTATCCAGAAGAAAAAATATTATCAGACATACTGTGAACATTTCCTTGCCCTGTTAAACACTATTTTAAAAAGAGAAACAAATTTAAAGGGGGGCAACGGTTAAAATATTAAATATAGTGTCCCATATTAATTTAATTATGTTATATCATGTAAATAATAATGAATCTTTTTTTTAATATTTACTTTTTCGATTATAATGTATACACATGTGTACACCTACAGTTATAAGATAAGAGGTTTTATTTCCATGTAATGTTTTATTAATTGTCATTTCTGTTTTGTACATTTTAATGCATTAACCTAATGTGAATGAAAATGTTGGCAGCTTTGACTTTTGTTTTTCGTATTCGGTTAATGTATATTAACAAAACGGTTTATAATAGTTCAGGGTGTAAGTGAATGTGAATGTCAGTGCAGGTGAACTCCTCATTCTGCTCCTGTTTATATCTCTGTTCAGATGACAGGATTGGATCTCTGATCTTAAGAGCGGAGCAGATGTTAAATTCTCCATCATTTGCTGTCAGTGATGCGGTAAAAGAGCTCAATGCTTCAGCAGATACAGAAGAGGCGCTGGACGTGGACCGGTCCTGGGACAATCCACCAGTGGCATTGTGAGTGAAGAACAGAACAGTCCCTTTATTAATCCGGGGTCGCCACAGTGGAATGAACCACCAACTTATCCAGCATATGTTTTACACAGCGGATGTCCTTCCAGTGGGGACACACACTTTTTCACACACACATACACTACGGTCAATTTTAGCCTACCTAATTCACCTGTACCGCATGTCTTTGGACTTGTGGGGGAAACCAAAGCACCCGGAGGAAACCCACTCCAACACGAGGAGAACATGCAAACTCCACACAGAAACGCCAACTGACCCAGCCGAGGCTTGAACCAGTCCCCTTCTCGCTGTGAGGTAAACGTGCCTCCCACTGCGCCACCTTTACAATAATATGTTTGTGCTTATACATTAGTGGGGCGGCTCAGTGGTTAGCACTGTCGCATCACAGCAACAAGGTCACTGGAAGGGCATCCGCTGCATAAAGCATATGCTGGATAAGTTGGCGGTTCATTCCACTGTGGTGACCCCTGATAAATCAGAGACTAAGCTGAAGGAAAATGAATAAATGTACATTAGTTTATCAGTATTAAAGACAAAATTGGCACTAATCTAACAAACAAACTGAAAATAACAGTCCAAAAATGAGTACGGATGTGGGGGAAATATTAACTACAATTTTAATAAACAGAAAAAATCAGGAGAATCCTAAAAAAAAAATCTAATTTACTTGCAATTTTGTAGTTTGTGATGTTTCTCGTTTCAATCTAAAGTTGCAGTGTGTAAGTTTTGGGCGAGGCAGTGGCGCTGTAGGTAGTGCTGTCGCCTGACAGCAAGATGGTCGCTGGTTCGGCTCAGTTGGCGTTTCTGTGTGGAGTTTGCATGTTCTCCCTGCGTTCGCGTGGGTTTCCTCCGGGTGCTCCGGTTTCCCCCACAGTCCAAACACATGCAGTACAGGTGAATTGGGTAGGCTAAATTGTCTGTATTGTATGAGTGTGTGTGTTGGATGTTTCCCAGAGATGGGTTGCGGCTGGAAGGGCATCCGCTGCGTAAAAACTTGCTTGATAAAGGCTGATTTATACTTCTGCGTCAAACGCATAGCCCTTCGTCGGCTGACGTGCACCTCTCAAAAAAATGTAACTACACATCGCAACGACGCGTAGCCTAAGCTCTGTGATTGGTCGGCTTGGTAGCGCTGACGAGTCTGGGCGGGACCGAGAGCCGCGTGCAGGCACGTGCACGCATAGGGCTCAACCTGTGCAGTGCACATGCCCTTTTTAGTCTTGGATAGAAAGTGCCCTTCCAAAATTATCAAAAGTGCCCTCGCGACGCGGCACACCTTCGGTCCCGCCCTTCAGTACGCGCGCGACAACACCGCTGTTCAGTACGCGCGCGACAACACCGCTGTTCAGTACGCGCGCGACAACACCGCTGTTCAGTACGCGCGCGACAACACCGCTGTTCAGTACGCGCGCGACAACACCGCTCTTCAGTACGCGCGCGACAACACCGCTCTTCAGTACGCGCGCACATGCCCTTTGGACGGTCTCTGCACGGGCCTGGCTGCGTGAATAGTGCGAGCCTGATGGAGCGATTGTTTATAAGTGTGGAGTCTCGTGAAGGAGCTCCGGATGGAAAGTTTTGTTTTGTGTTTCCCTCATAGTTAAAGTTGTTGCACGTCTGCCGGGTCCTGCCTCACAATGAGCGAGTTTGAGCCACTTGTACATCCCGGAAGTGTTCAGGTAAAGCAAAACTAGCTGCCAACTAGCGTTTCGGAAGTGTTAAAGCAGACCCACAGAGACAGCAGCAGAAGTATAAATGCACAGCTACGCGCGTTGCATGCACCGTGGGTTACGCCGGTCACCTGACGCAGAAGTATTCACCTTATTTTCCGCTGACGAGCGGGCGCTGCCATTTGAATCTTTTTGGCTCGAGACTTACGGTCACATTCACTTCCATTCATTTTTTGATGTTAAAAACTGCTCGTTACCCTGCTTGATGTTGCAATTTGATATTTTCTTATTATATTACGCTACTTGGTCTGTGTAGTCATGCAAACATTTGTTTGTAGAGCAAGTAGTTTGACCGTTTTCTGCCGTTTATTATTCCTAGTCATTTCTCCCATAGGCGACTGAATCGGAAGTTTTAAGACAATCGCGAAAACAGGCGCGCTTCCGCATTTTAGAATAAGGTCAATAAACCAGGCTTAAGTTGGCGGTTCATTCCGCTGTGGTGACCCCAGGTTAATAAAGGGACTAAGCCTACAAGAAAATGAATGAATGAATTTGTAAGTTTGACACCCAGTGGTTGAACTAGGTATTGCACTCCTGGATCAACACGCGCAGGTTGCCAGATTGATAACGTTAACAGGAGTGTGCCTGACTGTCGAGCCTAAAGGCTGATTTAAGTTGTGTTCAAAATAAAAGCAATGACAAGCAATAGAAGGAATATTTTCCATATTAAAATGACTTTTTGTCCTAAACAACACCTGAAATTTATATTAGAAAGTTATATTTAGACTACTAAATCAAAGAAAGTAATTGATTCCTACTGTGTGCAGTAAATCTCCAGTGCCGGTGGGCATCGCTGAAGAGCCGCCAGCAGCTGAGGATCTGCAGAGGAGTAAGGTACAGTACAAGACGTGATTTAAAGCAGATATTAAATGAGAAACTAAAATTTCCTTTATATTTTGACGTATAAAAGTTGACAGTTCTATAAACACATCCTGCACGTTTCAGAATTAAACACTTTGTGGTTCCTCTAAATTCAGCCAAAGAGCATAGAATCACCAAGAGGCGACACGCTAATACGCGATATGGGGAAACAGCCACTAGATGCCGCTAGTGTCACGCGGCGGCCATATTGGAATGAAAACTCCAATAGAACAGCAGCATGTTACAAGTCTGTACAATAAACTATTAAAGAGCTGATGATTGTGATAGTAAGTGTTGTATTGTCGTCTTTCAGGTTGTATTTCAGCTTTAAAGGGCCATGAAACCCCCTCGTTTCAGCAGGGTGTTTTCACACCTCTACTTTGGAAAAAGTCAGAAAAGTGGGCGTGTCCAGCTCTGTTTAGGGGGGAGTGTCGGAGGAACTAAAGTGGGATGGTGTGGGAGTGTCTATTTGGGCACGCGCGAGTTTCAGAGTCAAAATACACACACACAATAGAAAGTGATGGTGTTTAACCTACATGGACATCTGTAGTCGAATTATTTGCCAAATTATTAAATGTTGGACTTTAACTGCAGTTTGGCTCTTTCATTCAGGGAATTCATTCATGTCCCTCGCGACAAACGAGATATTTGATTCGAGGATCTGCTCTAAGCGTGTATTTTTCATGCAATGTTTGATACCGCACGGTGAATGAGAGAAAAAAAAACCTTCGCATTTTCCGGAAACTTAGATGCACACGGCAGGTAGCGTCAGAAAGCCGCGTGTGTTATTCCGGTCACTAAATGCGGTTAAAAACCCTACACGAGGTTAAAGTTTGGTTGTGGTCCTAACATGTTACGGTGCAATAGTTAACTTAGTTCGATACGAACAAACTGAATAAACAAAGATTACTGGTCGCTCACTTACCAAATCTGTAGAGACAGGACAATCACCAGCAACTAGAGCCGCGTCTTTATTAAGAGGAGACTACAAGCGAATCCGGATCTCAGCGTTTGCAGATGAGAACAGCTCTCAGATAAACAATAATCCTCCTTAGACACGTAAGTTATTGTTGTCGAGCGTCGCGTACACTGTTAATCCACACGTGACTCTAGCTGAGCTCTCACAGAGAGAAAATGAAAACAAAACTTAACTGCAGCAAACTATAAAAGCAACACTTCACGCTTGTTTTGCCAACACAACGTGGCGTCTCTGTCGTGTAAACACAGTAATGAATATTAATGAAGTTGCACAATAGAGCGCGCTGATTGGTTTGAACCAAGCCTTACTCATGCATTAATGCATCACACTGTAAGACGTAATAAGACTCACTCTGGCACAGGCGTCCAGTCTGCACGCTGGAATACACACTATTATATCATGACCGTGACGCAACTTCAAAAATTTGTTACAAACCGGAAGTACGAATTTGCTTGAAATAACGTAAAAACAACCAATTTACACTTTTTAGTGAAATATAGGTGTCCTAATAGTGTTTTTAGCAGTGTGGGACACATATACCACTGTCAACAGCTCAACACATGTGTTCTGGTGTTTCGTGACCCTTTAATGCACTTTTAAAATAAATAATTGAAAAACAAAGCAGCTGCTCGCCGAAATGAAGCGTTTCTGTCAGCGAAAGTCAGCGCATTTGGCTTCGAGAGGAAACCCTGATAATAAACAACTGGGGAAAATCATGGCTACTTTAAACGCTCTAATGTTAATCTGTATTACTGTAATGCTGCGTGTGTGCGTGTAGTCTGCAGCATCCGGCTCTTCCGGATACAGCAGCAGGAATCATCCGGGTCCAGTGGAGGCGCTCAAACACATGCTGTACCGCCTGCAGGCCGTGGAACAGAAGATCAGCCAATCACAGCACAGCATTACAGATTCAGCAGACACTGCAGAGCAGGTGCAGAACACTGATAAAAGCATCACGCTACCTTGTGTGTGTGTGTGTGTGTGTGTGTGTTTGTGTGTGTGTGTGTGTGTGTGTGTGTGGTCTCATACAGCACCTTTAAATTGATTTAGTTTATTTTTAAATGCATTTATTGCTTCTTAGCAGGAAACAGAAGCTGTGGATGCAGGAAGCGGCGAGTCTTTACTGAGGTCAGTCGATATGAGTGTGTTTTTCTCCTTTATAAACTGGTGCTGGTGTTCAGTTTTGTTTATGATCCGGGTTTCTCAGAGCTCTTCATCATTTGGAGCGGCTGAAAACACTGGTGGACGATATGAATGATAGGAAGGTGGGAGCAGGGAATGATGGGATTGACTCTACAGACTGCACCAGAATCAGCATGCACACATGAAGACCCGACCTCAGACTGTTATTAATACAGTCTAGCATGAAATTATTCATTCACCCCTGACAAATTCTGGCTTAAAGTTATTGTTCAAATGTACATAAAACCTAAAACATATATATTTTCCACAATGATGCCTCTTGAATGTCACGTTATAGTCTTCTGGGAGTAGCCTGGGTCATTTCCAGGTAATAAAACTACTTTCTGGTTGACTTGACGTAAGTTTAAGTCAGAGTTTGCCAGGGGTATGAATACTTTCAGGCTTGGCTGTATATAAACACAGACACGGCTCATATTTGCTTAAAGGTGTCATTTCTATTTTCATTTAAAGGGACAGTTCACCCAATAAATGTCAATTCTGTCTTCTTTTAGTCCTCTTCAAAACCGGAGTTTCTTTCTTCTGTTGAACACAATGAAAAATAAATAGAGTATGCTGGAAAAAGGCGACGTTGAGAAGATTTGTATTTTTGGGTGAACTGGCCCTTTAAACTGCATCAACAAAAGCTTCTTTATCAGTGGTTTGTCTGAAGAGTGTTATTGACTCAATTATTGCACAATTATTCAGTTTTGTATATAAATAAACGCTTATTTTAAGCTAACGGAGTTCGAGTATTTCAGTTGTCAAAAGGATCATTCAAGTTCTGGTTTTGATGTTGATTAAAGACGGAACTTTAAGTAGCTTCTTGCAGTTCTGACTTTTATTATGAAATTCGTGTGGCATTTTTTTCTCTCTCTGCATTTACTGTATTAATTTGTAATTTGAATATTGATCGAATATCTATTCTTGCACCATGGAATAATAGAAAAAAGGTAATTGGTCGAATTCACAATTCAGTTTTTTTTTCCTCAGAATTCTGAATTAACAACTCAAACTGTTTAGTTTTTTTAAAGTAATTGTGATTATTTTTTACTCACTATTCTGACTATTTTCCAATTAAAATTATGCATAAAAAATTATGGCCGTGTATTTCTACATTGTCTAGATTTTAACTTTTTGTCACTTTTGCTTCACAGTTTTTACTTTGTGTAGAAATATTTATTTGCCTCGGTTTTTACTTTTCTTGTTTGTTTTCGTAACTTTAATAATTCATTTGTTTTCCACAAAAAATAAATAAATAATAAAACAAAAATCGCAATTGTAAAAATAATTTTTTATAAAAAATAAACGGAAAAAGTTAAACTTTTCAATCACAATTCAGATTTTACCCTCCAGAATTTTAACTTAGTTAAAAACCTTTTTTTTTTTTTTTTTTTACTTAATTCTGACATGCAAGTCTCAAGATCAACACATTTACATTTCACAGTTCTGCCTTTGGATCTTTACATTTTAAGAATTGTCAGTCTTTAAAAAAATATTTTTCTTTGTTTTTGGAATTCAGATGAAATTTTTCAGACTTATAGTTAAAAACGTAAGTAACTGCATTGTTTAAAACCAGAGTTCTGTGCTCCAACCCATACGGAAAAATACTATCGTAAATAATGTGGTGTTTTTGAACCATGAAATAGTAAAGTACTTGAATTAATTCAATTCAGCTTTATTTGTGTAGCGCTTTTACAATGTAGATTGTGTCAAAGGAGCTTCACATAAATGGTCATAGTAACTGGATCAGGGTAGTTCAGTTTTTAGTGTTTAAGTTCAGTTCAGTTTAGATCAGTTCAGTGTGTTTTAAAATCATTACATTCAGTCCAAACACTGAAAAGCAAATTCATCGATGCGTAGCTCTACCGATCCTGAACCATGCCAGCCAGTGGCGACAGCGGAGAGGGAAAAAAAACTTTAATGGAAGAGTGAAGAAAAAAAACCTTGAGAGAACCAGACTCATTTTAATTTATCTGCTGGCCAAAAGTCTTGTGCATTAATCTGTTGTGGCGGTTCTATAGTTGCTACAGTAACACACCAACTATAGAAATCGATCTGCTGTGCCAGTTCTATAGTTGCTACGACAATGCACCATCTATAGAAATCGATCTGCTGTGGCAGTTCTATAGTTGCTACGGTAACACACCAACAATAGAAATCCATCTGTAGTGGTGGTTCTATAGTTGCTATGGTAACACACCAACTATAGAAATCGATCTGTTCTGGCAGTTCTATAGTTGCTACGACAACACACCAACTATAGAAATCGATCTGTTGTGGCGGTTCTATAGTTGCTATGGTAACACACCAACTATAGAAATCAATCTGTTGTGGCAGTTCTATAGTTGCTACGACAATGCACCATCTATAGAAATCGATCTGCTGTGGCAGTTCTATAGTTGCTACGGTAATACACCAACAATAGAAAATCCCTCTGTAGTGGTAGTTCTATAGTTGCTATGGTAACACACCAACTATAGAAATCAATCTGTTGTGGCAGTTCTATAGTTGCTACGACAACACATCAACTATAAATCGATCTGTTGTGGCAGTTCTATAGTTGCTATGGTAACACACCAACTATAGAAATCGATCTGCTGTGCCAGTTCTATAGTTGCTACGGTAACACACCAACAATAGAAATCCATCTGTAGTGGTGGTTCTATAGTTGCTATGGTAACACACCAACTATAGAAATCGATCTGTTGTGGCAGTTCTATAGTTGCTATGGTAACACACCAACTATAGAAATCAATCTGTTGTGGCAGTTCTATAGTTGCTATGGTAACACACCAACTATAGAAATCAATCTGTTGTGGCAGTTCTATAGTTGCTATGGTAACACACCAACTATAGAAATCGATCTGTTGTGGCAGTTCTATAGTTGCTATGGTAACACACCAACTATAGAAATCAATCTGTTGTGGCAGTTCTATAGTTGCTTTGGTAACACACCAACTATAGAAATCGATCTGCTGTGCCAGTTCTATAGTTGCTACGACAATGCACCATCTATAGAAATCGATCTGCTGTGGCAGTTCTATAGTTGCTACGGTAATACACCAACAATAGAAATCCCTCTGTAGTGGTCGTTCTATAGTTGCTATGGTAACACACCAACTATAGAAATCGATCTGTTGTGCCAGTTCTATAGTTGCTACGGTAACACACCAACAATAGAAATCCATCTGTAGTGGTGGTTCTATAGTTGCTATAGTAACACACCAACTATAGAAATCGATCTGTTCTGGCAGTTCTATAGTTGCTACGACAACACACCAACTATAGAAATCGATCTGTTGTGGCGGTTCTATAGTTGCTATGGTAACACACCAACTATAGAAATCAATCTGTTGTGGCAGTTCTATAGTTGCTACGACAATGCACCATCTATAGAAATCGATCTGCTGTGGCAGTTCTATAGTTGCTACGGTAATACACCAACAATAGAAATCCCTCTGTAGTGGTAGTTCTATAGTTGCTATGGTAACACACCAACTATAGAAATCAATCTGTTGTGGCAGTTCTATAGTTGCTACGACAACACATCAACTATAGAAATCGATCTGTTGTGGCAGTTCTATAGTTGCTATGGTAACACACCAACTATAGAAATCGATCTGCTGTGCCAGTTCTATAGTTGCTACGGTAACACACCAACAATAGAAATCCATCTGTAGTGGTGGTTCTATAGTTGCTATGGTAACACACCAACTATAGAAATCGATCTGTTGTGGCAGTTCTATAGTTGCTATGGTAACACACCAACTATAGAAATCGATCTGTTGTGGCAGTTCTATTGTTGCTATGGTAACACACCAACTATAGAAATCAATCTGTTGTGGCAGTTCTATAGTTGCTATGGTAACACACCAACTATAGAAATCAATCTGTTGTGGCAGTTCTATAGTTGCTATGGTAACACACCAACTATAGAAATCGATCTGCTGTGCCAGTTCTAAAGTTGCTACGACAATGCACCATCTATAGAAATCGATCTGCTGTGGCAGTTCTATAGTTGCTACGGTAATACACCAACAATAGAAATCCCTCTGTAGTGGTCGTTCTATAGTTGCTATGGTAACACACCAACTATAGAAATCGATCTGTTGTGGCAGTTCTATAGTTGCTACAGTAACACGACTACTATAGTAATAAACAAATGACCCAGTACTGGAGATTTCTACAACTATAGGTTATATTATACTACAATAATCCAGTTTACTTTAGTATAACTAAAGCACACTACAGTATCAGTTCACTATAGTCAATATGACAGTATGCTGGAGCATTCATTAAACAATTGTATATACTAGAATATATAGAGTATTTCAGAAACACTAGTATTAATTACAGCATTTCTTCATGTGGCGTCTGGCAGTGATTCTTGAGCAACTGCTGTGTTTATATTCTGACTGCACTGATGTTTAGCTGAGATTTTGTTTGCTATGTGAGCTGGACTTGGATCAGTCTGAGGGTCAACGTCCCACACTGAGAAACAAACACACACATCTGTTCTGAGCTCCAACAGAAACCATGCTCAAGTTTCTCTCTTTATTGCTAATTTCAACATTAGCAGTTTTTGCAGCGAATGCGAGTCCATCAGGACGTGTCCAGCGCTCCATCGGCAGACCTTTCAGATCAATGCTGACCGTCCATAACGGGATGAGATGGGGATCATGGGGTCAGAAAGAGATGTGTCCAACTGGGATGTACGCCGCAGGATTTAGTCTAAAGGTGAGCCACTATTATGAAGGTAAATCAGCAGCAAACCGAGAGCTTACTAATCTAAATGTGAGAACTTGTGATGGTATTTGTATGTGTTGAAATGTACAGTACACTCAGCTCTGATGTGAATAGCTGAATCTGTCAATCTGCACACCAACAATAATCAAAACCATGTCAATTTGAAGTTGCAGATTAAACATTGATGTGAAGCAGTGGTGTACAGCAACAAATAACTAATACACAAATTAGTGTATTTGTATTAGTTTTTAAGGAAATGCAATGTTTTAAAAAAATTTTTGTGCTGTATACTTCACTACTTTTTAAACCTGCAGATTTTATTTTTTCTTGTCTGAGGATTGGCTGAGTAGAAAAAAACAGTCTTGTGATTCCCGTCCAATCAAATCGCACATAGAAAGTAAATCAAATCATACTGAACAAGCGCAAGACATGGGCACTTTATAAATGCTGCAAACTGTCTGAAAGCATTAAAAGTGTCCAAGGAGATGTCCAAAATCTTTCCATGCAAGCATTGGGAGACTGTTTAAATGCAAGTCACCGATAAGAAGATGGTGGTTGTTTGCTGTATCATGACTGAAATTTCCAAACGACCTTAAACAATCACTTAATGCACTACAGAATGTTACGTTTTCACACACATGCACAAATTGCAGGTCAGCACTTCAACCTTTCACACTGAAATACTCAGTACTCTTGAAAACATACAGTAATATTTACAACAGATACTTTTACTCCACTTTCACTACGTTTTTGGGCAAGTAGCCATTTACTCGAGTATGATTTTCTGTACTCTTTCCACCACTGAATGTGAAGAGATGATAACAACTACCAAAGACTTCGTGTGCATGTTCAATGAAGTGTATTAAGTTGTCCTCAAGACATCATCTATATACTATATAACTGCAGGTTAACTATATATACCCATTTTATAAGGTTATAACGTCCAACTGCTCATTAAAGCAAATTTCTAATCAGCCAATTACAGAGCAGCAACTCAATGCATTTAGGCATGTAGACATGTTCAAGACTATTTGCTGCAGTTCAAAGTGAGTTAAAGGGGATTTAAGTGACTTTGATCGTGGCATGGTTGTTGGTGCCAGACGGGCTGCTCTGAGTATTTCAGAAACTGCTGATCTACTGGGATTTTCATGTACAGCCATCTCTAGGGTTTACAGAGAATGCTCCGACAAAGAGGAAATATCCAGTGAGCGGCAGTTCTGTGGGTTCAAATGCCTTGTTGATGCTAGAGGTCAGAGGAGAATGGCCAGACTGGTTCCAGCTGATAGAAAGGCAACAGTAACTCAAATAAGCACTCGCTACAACCGAGCTCTGCAGAAGAGCATCTCTGAACACACAACACGTCCAACCTTGAGGCGGATGGGCTACAGCAGCAGAAGACCACACCGGGTGCCGCTCCTGTCAGCTAAGAACAGGAAACTGAGGCTACAATTCACACAGACTCACCAAAACTGGACAATAGAAGATTGGAGAAACGTTGCTGCTCTGATGAGTCTCCATTTCTGCTGACACATTCAGATGCTCGGCTCAGAATTTGGCATCAACAACATGAAAGCATGGATCATCCTGCCTTGTATCAGCGGTTCAGGCTGGTGGTGGTGGTGTAATGGTGTGGGGGAGATTTTCTTTGGGTCCATTAGTACCAATTGAGCATCAACGCCACAGCCTACCTGAGTATTGCTGCTGACCATGTCCATCCCTTTATGAGCACCGGTTCTCCATCTTCTGATGGCTACTTCCAGCAGGATAACACACCATGTCATGAAGCTCAATCATCTCAGACTGGTTTCTTGAACATGACGATGAGTTTACTGTACTCAAATGGCCTCCACAGTCACCAGAGCTCAATCCAATAGAGCAGCTTTGGGATGTGGTGGAACGGGAGATTGGCATCATGGATGTGCAGCCGACAAATCTGCAGCAACTGTGTGATGCTATCATGTCAATATGGAGAAAAATCTCTGAGGAATATTTCCAGTATCTTGTTGAATCTACGCCATGAAGGATTAAGGCAGTTCTGAAGGCAAATGTGGTCCAACCTGGTACTAGTAAGGTGTACCTAATAAAGAGTATAGTTATTAGTAGCTAATAAAGTTATGGGAACTCATAACCATATTGATTTTGTGAGCTCACATTGCTAGTTTTGTTTTGAACACTTCATCTGTGCACGTCATTAAGAATAAACAATAGTTTTACCTTGTCATCTTTAAGTGAAATCTGAAAAAACAAGCCACGCCCACTGTTTACTCATAATATTTCTTTAGGAACTGCATCACAGTATGAAAAAAAATGGTCGCAGCTTTTGGCTCATGCAGACTTTAAATGTTTCTGTCGCATCACATGTAGTCAGGAAACAGTGTTAAATGCAATATTGTGCATGTGTGTGTGTGTGTGTGTGTGCAGGTGGCAGGTATGTGGGAGTCTCTGCTGGTTGGCGATAACACAGCGCTCAATGGGATTCGTCTTCATTGCATCAACCCATCTAAAAAATCCTCTGCTCCATATGATGATTACGCCACTGTTCAGTCAGATGTAGGAAGGTGAAGCTTTTATTAAACTATTATATAGAGACTTTTGTGCCCACACTTCACATTAGGATCACATTGGTGGCTGAGAGAGCTTAATGCACTGCAATAAAAGAAGACATGCAATTACAAAAAACGAAAAGATCCTCATCGGCTGGGCAGCATACGTGTTGCAAATCCTCACAACGCAAACACACTTTAAAAATGTGCTGCATTTTCTCACAATCCAAACTAAGCGGCCTTAAATCACTGGGGTTTGGGTCCTATTTTAACATCAGAAAATAAAACAATCCTTGTGCTTTTATCACTCCAATATGACTGTGGACACACTATACCTGCACACAGTTCTGTCCGAACAGCTTACAAAGGATGATTTTTATCATAGGCGCCCTTTAATGCACCGTGAGTTAAACAAAAAATTAATGGCTTTATTTTCATTGACTAACATTAGCAAATATTAATAAATACTGTAATAAATGTATTGCTCTTTGTTTTTGCATGTACATTAACTAATGCACCCTTATTGTGTGTTTTTTTAAAAAATGTTGTATATATTGCAGAAAAACTAAATATCGCAATGTCAGATTTTCTCTATCGAGCAGGCTTAAATATTACAGCAGATTATGTTTCTTATCTCAGCTGGGGAAAATGGTCAGATATCAAATGGTGCCCAAGTGGATTCCTGATGTCTTTTCAATTGAGAGTGGAGCCCTACCAAGGGACCTGGGATGACACGGCTGCAAACAACATCAGGTGATCTTAATTGTGTAGGCCTATATAGTCAGAAGTATTAGCCCTCCTTTGAATTTTTCTTCTTTTTTAAAAATGTCCCAAATGATGTTTGCAAGCAAATGTTCACAGTATGTCTGATAATATTTTTTCTTTTAGAGAAAGTCTTGTTTTATTTCGGCTAGAATAAAAGCAGTTTTACATTTTTTAAAATCTATTTTAAGGTCAATATTATTAGCCCCTTTAAGCTATATTTTTATTCAATAGTCAACAGAACAAACCATCATTATACAATAACTTGCCTAATTACCCTAACCTGCCTAGTTAACCTAATTACCCTAGTTAAGCCTTTAAATGTCACTTTAAGCTGTATTGAAGTGTCTTGAAGACTATTTAGTCTAATGTTATTTCCTGTCATCATGACTAAGAGAAAATAAATCAGTTACTAGAGATGAGTTATTAAAACTTTTATGATTAAAAATGTGTTGAACAAATCTGCTCTACGTTAAACAGAAATTGGGGAAAAAATAAAAATAAACTTCAACTATGTATGTATGTATGTATATATATGTATATATATATATATATATATATATATATATATATATATATATATATATATATATATATATATCAAAAAAAGGTATATACATATACACAGAGACTTTTATTTTGTATAAACAATCGCTGTCCATTACCAAATCGCCCTGTTTAAGATCTAATTTCTTTGTAAATCAGCGATTTTTACTGCCTGATTGATAGAAAATATATTGTGGGTTTTCCGACTGGACAAGAAGCACTGCATTACATTACATTATTATGCACCAAATGTATTTTACCTCAGTATTTTCAATGGAGTTTTAGCGCTCGCCTGTTACTCCTGATTACACTTGTGAAGTCTTTTTAACTGATTATATGTTCATTAAATCACATTATCTATACTGTTAAGGGAAGAAAATGATCACATCAACCTTTCACTGGAAGTTTATCACTAGCTGAGCATAAAGCCGATTAATTTATCTTATAAAACTTAAATTACTATGACTTTCAAAGATGTTTTATAGACCATCAGGACTTTGTTTTCATTTTTTCATTGACAATAAAAAAGTAACAAATCAGATACTGTTATGAAATCCCTCCTGGCACCCTTTTCAAATCCGATTCGTAAATTCAGAACACGACAAAAAAAATACACAAATCCAATTCGCAAGTTCAAAACACGATTCATAAATATGCAAGTCCATTTCAGAAATTCAAATAATACACAAATCCTATTCGTAAACAAAAAAATACAAAAATGCTATTTGAAAATTCTAAAAATGATTCATAAATACACAAATCCAATTCGTAAATTTAAAACATGATTCATAAATACACAAATCCAATTCGTAAATTTAAAACATCATTTATAAATACACAAATCTAATTCGTAAATTTGAAACGTGATTCATAAATACACAAATCCAATTCGTAAATTCAAAACATGATTCATAAATACACAAATCCAATTCGTAAATTCAAAACATGATTCATAAATACACAAGTCCATGTTGTAAATTCAAAAATACACATATCCAATTCATGAATTTAATATTACAAAAATCCAATTTGTAAATTCAAAATATGATTCATAAATACACAAATCCAATTCATAAATTTAAAACACGATTCATAAATACACAAATCCAATTCATAAATTCAAAATACAATTGATAAATATGCAAGTACATTTCGTTAATTCAAAAATACACAAATCCAATCGTAAATTCAAAACACGATTCATAAATGGACAAATCTAATTAGTAAATTTAAAGCACGATTCGTAAATACACAAATCCAATTCGTAAATTCAAAGCACGATTCGTAAATAAACAAATCCAATTCGTACATTCAAAACGCAATTCAAAAATGCACAAATCCGATTCGTAATTTCAAAACACTGTTCATAAATTCAAAACACGATTCATAAATAGACAAATCCAATTAGTTAATTCAAAGCATGATTCGTAAATACACAAATCCAATTCATAAATTCAAAATACAATTTATAAATATGTAAGTCCATTTCGTTAATTCAAAAATACACAAATCCAATCGTAAATTCAAAACACAATTCATAAATGGACAAATCCAATATGTAATTTCAAAACACAGTTCATAAATTCAAAACACGATTCATAAATTGACAAATCCAATTAGTAAATTCAAAGCACGATTCGTAAATACACAAATCCAATTCATAAATTCAAAATACAATTTATAAATAATGTAAGTCCATTTCGTTAATTCAAAAATACACAAATCCAATTCGTAAATTCAAAACACGACTCATAAACGGACAAATCCAATTCCTAAATTCAAAGCACGATTCGTAAATACACAAATTCAATTCGTAAATTCAAAGCACGATTCGTAAATACACAAATCCAATCGTAAATTCAAAACACGATTCATAAACGAACAAATCCAATTCGTGAATTCAAAACACGATTCATTAACGGACAAATCCAATTCCTAAATTCAAAGCACGATTCGTAAATGCACAAATTCAATTCGTAAACTCAAAGCACGATTCGTAAATACACAAATCCAATTTATAAATTCAAAATACAATTTATAAATAATGTATTTCCATTTCGTTAATTCAAAAATACACAAATCCAATCGTAAATTCAAAACACGATTCATAAATGGACAAATCCAATTCGTAAATTCAAAACACGATTCATAAACGGACAAATCCAATTCGTAAATTCAAAGCGCGATTCGTAAATACACAAATTCAATTAGTAAATTCAAAGCACGATTCGTAAATACACAAATCTAATCGTAAATTCAAAACACGATTCATAAACGGACAAATCCAATTCGTAAATTCAAAGCACGATTCATAAAGGACAAATCCAATTCGTAAATTCAAAGCACGATTCGTAAATACACAAATACAATCGTAAATTCAAAACACGATTCATAAATGGACAAATCCAATTCGTAAATTCAAAGCACGATTCGTAAATACACAAATCCAATTCGTAAATTCAAAACTCGATTCATAAATACGCAAGTCCATTTTGTAAATTTAAAACACTATTCATAAATACGCAAGTCCATTTCCTAAATTCAATCCTACACAAATCCAATTCGTAAATTCAAAGCACGATTCGTAAATACACAAATCCAATTTGTGAATTCAAAACAGGATTGATAAATCCAGAAGTCCATTTCGTGAATTCAAAAATACACAAATCAAATTCGTACATTCAAAACACAATTTAAAAATGCACAAATGCGATTTGTAATTTAAAAATACAAAAATCCTATTATTATATTAAAAACACTATTCAAAAATACACAAATCCAATTTGGAAATTCAAAACCAATTCATAAATACACAAATACAATTCAATTGTCAAGAATGTTTATTTTTTTATTTAGTAAACTAATATTGCTAACAATGTTGTAGTGTCTATGGCAATTATGTTAGAAATGTGCAAATTATGATAACAACATGCAGGTGTCATGCTAATTGATTGGTGTCTGTATTGTGGCCAGGTTTAAATGCAGTGTAAACGCAGAAGAGCTGCAGGGGTCTGGGATGTCCTGGGGCGAATGGGGCGACTGGAGCGAGACCTGTGGAGGAACCGGAATCTGTGGGATCGAGACTATGGTGGAGGAACCGCAGGGTGTAGCAGACGACACCGCACTCAATGACCTGCGCATCTACTGCTGCGACTGAACTACACTGACAGAATGATGCATTGCATTTACTACATTTCTTTAAGGTAAGAGGTTACAAACAATTTACATGGGCTGAATTTAAACAAGCAAATAAAGTTGAACATTACTACATTTAATTTGTTTGTTCAAATTCAGCCTATTTAAGTTGCTTGCAACCACTTACCTTAAAGAAAACGTATTAAATCCAATGCATCATTTATTAGTGCACAGAAGAGCATTGCTTAAAGGCTCAGAAGATCATAATGTCTGTCTGAGAATGATTTTCTTTTTCAAATATTTCCTAAATGATGTTAAGGATTTTTTCACAGTATTTCCTGTAATATTTTTTCTCAGGTCAATATTATTAGCCCCCTTAAACAATATATTTTTTGGATTGTCTACAGAACAAACCACTGTTATACGATGACTTGCCTAATTAGTCTAACTTTAGCACGGCAAGGCACGTTTATTTATATAGCACATTTCATACACTGTGGCAATTCAAAGTGCTTTACATAAGGAATAAAAGAGAAGTTGTAATCCAGCATTGATGTTTCCGGGTAAATGACATGACGCAGCTGTGTAATTTCACAGTAAATATCACTGACAAAACTCGCTCGGTGCACAAGACTAATCTACCAGATGCAAGCAATAAAAGCAACCAACCAGCCTAATGTGATTAATTTATAAGAAATATAATTAATATTAAATAATTAATTTATAACTTATACAGTATTTTAATAATGAAATTATATGACAATAATAATAATAATTATTATTATTATTATTATTATTACTACTACTATTATTATTATTAAATTATAATTATTATTATAAAAGTTATATTTTAAATCGTAAATTGATGTATTTTTTTAAGTTACATTGCCCAGCCCTAATATAGTCTATTGAATACAAAAACAAAAACAGAATAGATACATAAATACATTTTCTTAGTCAGATACTGATAATATTAAAAACAAGTATGTTTACACCAGTACAGATTTATCATTTATTAAAGTAATTTGCTTTACAGCCAAATGCTATAAAGTAGCACCTACAAGAATATGCGCTTTCCATAATTACTATTGATTAATCAATTGTCTACAGAAAACGTACAAAAACTAAAAAAGACACTGATCTGTGGTGAGATATATGGTCATATAGAGGTCACCACAGTGGAATGTTATTAAACAGATTATTACAGACTTCCAGTGGAATTTTAGTTGAACTATGTAATAAAAAAGAATGTAAAATGAGCTAAAATGTACAAAAACAGCATTTAAAATAACGTCACATCTCAAAAACTTCACATGCACAAACAAAAAAAAAATGCTTGGGGCTTGAATGTGTGCTAGTGTGGTTTTGTTGTGCTAACTTGTTTACCCACCAGCTATAGCATTACTCTATTAAATCTCCCTTTGTTCAAGATGTGAGACATAAACTAAATTTCTCCTGCCCTTGCTTAGCATGAAAAATAGGAATACTGTTTAACTAGTATAAAAAATATATAAAAAAAATTGATTAAAAACAGATTAAAATGTGTTTAAAAAGGTTATAAAAGAATGAATAAGAGAAGAAAGACACAATAGTGCGATCTGTGGGACGCAGCACACAGATGTGTGTTCAGTCTTCATGTTATTGTGCCTAATGTTGGAGCATATCTGATCATTTCTGAAAGCTGATTCCAGCAGCAGGGGGCGCTGTTAGTAGCTGAACGCCGATTCACCCTGCTTTGACTGAACTCTTGAAGTGTTTCTAGTTTATTTGATCCTGAAGATCTGAGTGTTCTGTTGGGTTTGTATTCAGTGAGCATATCTGTAATGTATTGAGGTCCTTGGCCATTTAGTGATTTATAGACCAGTAATAATACTTTAAAATCTATTCTGAATGTAACTGGAAGCCAGTGTAAAGACCTGAGGACAGGTGTGATGTGCTCTGATTTCCTGGTTCTGGTCAGAATCCTGGCCGCAGCGTTCTGGATGAGCTGTAACCCGCTGACTGTGTTTTTAGGAAGGCCAGTGAGGAGTCAATTACAGTAATCCACCCTGCTGCTGATAAAAGCATGAACAAGTTTCGCTAAGGGTGCTTTCACACCTGCCTTGTTTAGTTCGATTTAATCGCACTAGAGTTCGTTTCCCCTTTTGATGCGGTTCGTTTGGGCAGGTGACAATCCAGCAATCGTACTCGAGTGCGCACCAAAAGCGGACCAAATAAGTGTACCGAGACCTGCTTGAAGAGGTGGTCTCGCTATGCTTTCAAACGAACCCTGGAGCGGTTCGTTTGTGGTGAGAATATGGTCTGTACTAAAACAGGTCCAACCGCAAAAAGTACTGCGCCTTTTGAACTAATTCAGCTGCCGTAGGCCGATGCGCTGTGCATTATTGGATATGGAGGAAAAATATTTGTTGACAGCGCTTTACCAACAAAGAGAGAGAGAGAGAGAGGAGAAAACATTACCTGATGGATCGTTGGTAATATTTCCGCAAGATGAGCATGTCGCAGTTTAGCTAAATTAATTCACGTCTCCTCCTGAAGTGACGAGCGATGCATTAAACACTGTTTTCCAGCCACAGCCACGCTTCATTTTCGTAATGTATAGTTTGTCTAAAGCAGAGATACAATCAGCCAGCACAGTCCTCCAGAGTAAAAGGTTTTGTTTACCTGCGGCAGTTCACTGGCATTTTCCCGCATGTGAATTCTGACCAATCAATAAGCAGTTTAGGGAATATGTTCAACAACATCTGGCCAATGAGAAATGTGGATTTTGTCAGATCACTGCATTTTGGTTCGTTTCAACTGGTTTGGACCAAAGCCAGCAGTGTGGTGTGAAAACCACCCAAAGACGGCAGAAGATGCAACGATGTGTCATTTATTACCCTTGGTCCCGACCAAATGAAGCGAACTACAGATGTGAAAGCAAAGCACCCTAAGGGTGCTTTCACACCTGTGAATGGATTCAGTTGTTCCGAAACAGAGATTAAAATTGTTACATTGTTGCTCTTTGCTCTTGGAGCGGTTCGCTTTCACACTGCAAAGTTTCTAATCGGTCCAAAAGAGCTAAAACAAGCCACGTGCGGGGAAACTCTCCTTACATTGGTCAGAGTGTCAGGGTTTATTTTGCAGTGTCCCGCTCAGCTGTCAGGAGAGGTGGTGGTTTGGTGGTGATTGACAGGGTGCGCGCGCGACGTGTCTGAAGAGAGACGCGGTGGGGAGGGGTGAGAAGGGTGCGCGACGATGCCTATTTGAGGACCGGGAGGGAGACGCGAGATTACCGGGAGATCATCACTCGTTTGCGGGCATCCGGAGACTCGCGAAACTTCCCGCCATACTCATAATTCTCTCTTCATATAGCCGTAAGCCTATTACATATCCATAAAACACTGAATATAACCGCGCTCGGATCGGATCGCTTTCTCACTGCAATCGAACCGCTCCAGGGTTCGTTTCAATCGAGCCGAGACCACCTCATTCAAGCGATCTCGGAGCGATTACTTTGGCGCGGAACAGAGCGCGATTGCCCTGTTCACATATGCCAATCGAACCGCGCTAACTGGGCAAACGAGATACGTTCCGAAACAAAAGTGTAGGTGTGAAAGCAGCCTAAGTCTTCACTGGAAACAAAGCATCTGATTCCTGCAGTGTTTTTGAATGGTAGTATGCTGATTTACTGACTGCTTTGACATGACTGTTGAAACTCAGATCTGACTCCAGAGTCACACCAAGAATGGTAACGAGCTCAACTAATAAAAGACAACGTCCACCGGCTGAGGTCCCACCTAGTCAGTAGGGCTCACAGCTTGGCAGGTATGTCAGTGGACAGCACATGCTCTTATGAATAATTAAAAAGCCGGCTCTTCTCATAGGATAGGAGAACTCAGCTATGAATAATAATGAGAAACCAACGTGTCATCACTCCACTAGCAGATTCACGCTACGTCACTGATTTTGTTCCCGCCTCAATAATGATTTTAAACCCAGATGCAATTAGCTGACAAAAGCGCAAAATTATCCAACTTTCCCCACAATTAAAGCCGACAGCTGCTAACAGTGTCCTATCTGATGCTCAACACACACTAATCTGTTAAAATCTCAAATAAAGTTCTCGAGGGTGTCTTGAACCTTTAAGGAGGCTAATAATATTGGCCTTAAAATGGTTTAAAAACAATTAAAAACTGCTTTTATTCTAGCCGAAGTAAAACAAATAGGACTTTCTCTAGAGGAACAAATATTAGAGGAAATTTAATGCATGTAATTAAGCCAACTTGTCAAATCAAATGAATTCATTCATTCATTTCCTTTCCGCCTAGTCCCTTTATTATTCCACAGTGGAATGAATCGCCAACTTATCCAGCACATGTTTTACACAGCGAATGCCCTTCCAGCTGCAACGCATCACTGGGAAATCAAATGAATTTAGTAGCTATCACACTATGTCTGGACACATTAGACCAGGGGTCACCAATCTCGTTCCTAGAGGGCTGGTGTCCCCACAGAGTCTAGCTCCAACTTGCCTCAACACACCTGCCTGGCTGTTCCAAGTATACCTAGTAAGACCTTGATTAGCTCTTTCAGGTGTGTTTGATTAGGGTTGGAGGGAAAATATTCAGGACACCGGCCCTCCAGGAAAAAGTTTGGTGACCCCTGCATTAGACTAGATTTGCATGTATTCTCGTTAATTAAAGAAATGTCGGTCATTTTGAATACTGTGCATGTTCAAATTAAATGCTTAATAAAAAAATAAAAGGAGGAAAAGCCTTAATTTGATCATTTTCTGTTGCACATCTTGACTGGTCATCAGTCTCAGCCTATTAATAAGATAATAACAGCGTCAACACGTCTTAATAATTGAGCCGGTTTAGAGTTTTGATTTCTCCATGCAAACACACTCATTACTTTAACACAGAGCTTTTTTTTTGAGTGCATAATTTTATTAGCTAGTCATATTTATTTTAAGTACAACAAGATACAGGAAAAATCTCCATCACATCATTCAAATACTTGGTTAAGCTGAATCGTGTTATTTTAAGAGTGAGAAATAAGCACTATTTAACAAGGGCAAACACATTAAAGGGGTAGTTCACCCACAAATTAAACTTCTGTCGTAGCTTATTCACCCTTGTTTTAAAACACTGTTGAGCACAAAAGAATATTTTTTGAAAAATGCTGAAAACCGGTACCCATTGACTTCTATTTGTTTTAACAACAATGCAAGTTAATGGTTTTTAACTTCCTTTAAACTATCTTTTTTTGTGTTCAACAGAAGAAAGACCTTTATAACCACTTGAGGAAGAGTTAAAAGTGAGCAAATGTTCATTTTTGTGTGAACTAGCCCTTTTATGACGCGCAAAGTTTTTCAACATTTGTTAGTAACATTTCTCCACATGCACTCAGACGTCATACAACAACACAAACGCTTTGTAAAAAATATAATACATCATATTTCTGAATCTGTTTTGATGAATTTGATACAGATTTCTTGTTATTTTGATGGTCAAAACATCATTTGTTCATAAGACATGAGTTAGACTCTTCTTAAAGGGGCAGTTCACCCCAATCATTCACTCTTTCTTCACTTATTCCAAACGTGTTTGTGTTTCTTTCTTCTGTTGAACACAAAAGAAGATATTTTGAAGAATGTTGGGAAGAAAATAAATAGTTTTTGTTTTTCCTACTATTGAAGTCAATGGTAAGCGAGCCCATTTTCGCCAGGTAAGAAAATTAAATTACAACATGAAAAGTTCTGACTTTTAATTTAAAATTATGACACAATAATGTTAATATTTTCAAGATAATAACAATAATAATAATAATAAACAATTTCAAATTAATTTCATACTAAAGTGAGTCAATATTATAAAAAAAAGATTAATCTGATGAAACAGGACATATTTATAAGCGAGTCATTGAATCATTAACTCAAAATTTAATTAAAACATTAATTTAAATTCTATAATATAAAATATATATATTATATATTAACAATTATAAATATATATTTACAAATATATATATTCATTTTGTAATATATTTGATATTATAGACATCATATTCATGTTTTTAATATTTTACAAAATCACAATATGATTTTCTAAAGGCTGTAGCGATTGCACTGTTATACCAGTAGGTGGCGACAAACAACCATATAAATGTGTGTCAGTAATTTTTTTAAATAATGTGATTACTTTCAAGATAATATTAATAATACTATTAATTAATTTCACACTAATGTGAGCCAATAATATAAAAAAAGATTAATCTAATAAAACAACATATTTATAAGCGAGTCATTGAATCATTCACTCAAGATTAAATTAAAAACATAACTTTAAATTCTATAATTTAAAATATATACTTATATTTTTACATTTATAATATATTTATTATAGAATATATTTTGTATTATAGAAATCAAACTCATGTTGTTAATATAATCTTATAAAATCCAAATTATAACTTCTAAAGGTTGTAGTGTTTGCATTATGTCAATAGGTGGTGACAAACAACCATCTAAATGTCTGTTGCTAATTTTTCTAAACAATGTGAATATTTTTAAGATATAATAATAAATAATTTCAAAATTTCACACTAATCTGCGTCAAAAACAATTAATCTAATAAAACAGGACATATTTATAAGCGAGTCATTGAATCATTAACACAAAATTAAATTATGAATATGAATTTAAATTCTATAATATGAATGAAACCCATGTTTTTTTAATATAATTTTACAAAATCTAAATTATGACTTTATGAATATGAAAGTTGTAGTGATTGCATTGTTATGCCAATAGGTGTCAACAAACAATTTGCAACACAATTTTTTATAAGATAATAAATAATTTCAAATTAATTTCACTAATGTGCATTATTAATAATTCAAAACTGATCAATCTAATGAAACATGACATATTTATAAGCGAGTTGTTGAATCATTAACTCAAAATTAAATTAAAAGACTAATTTAATTTCTATAATATAAAATATATATTTACTAATATATATATATACATTTTTAAATATATTTTATACTATAAAAATTAACGTTTTAATATCATTTTACGAAATCCAAATGTATGACTTTTAAAGGTTGTAGCGATTGCACTGTTATGCCAATAGGTGGCGAGTCTGGCGACAAACATTTCGCGACACTAATTTTTCAAAATAATTAAAATAAATATTTTCCAGAAAAGAATAATAAATGTTTGTACACTAATGTGCATAACTAATATAGCAAAAAATAATAATATAATGAAACACGACATATTCATAAGCGAGTTATTGAATCATTAACTCAAGAAAAAAATATTGCATAATAAATATATATATATTTACAAATATAAATACATATTTATTTTAGAATATATTTTATATTACAGAAATCAAATTCACTTTTTAATATCATTTTCAGGTTACGATTTAATAACTTGCTTATGAAGACTTCATATTTCATTACATTAATCAATTTTGAAAAATGTATGCAGTCACATTTAGACACTTAATTATATATTAAATCATAATTCTGACATTAGTCTCACAATTTCAAGCTATAATTTCATTTATGGTATGATTTTTCTTCTTATCTTACAATAAACAGGCTTCAACACCACTGACTTTAATATATTTAAAGTTCCTACTACGGATCTCAATGGCTTCCGACATTTTTCAAGGTCACACTTTACAATAAGGTTTCATTAGTTAATGCATTTATGCAATAATGACACTTTTATTTATTGAGCATTTATTAATCCCAGTTCAACATTTACTAATGCATTATTGACATTTTAATATTGAGAGCTAAGATTAATAACAATAAATGAATGTATTATCATCAACTGACACGAACAAATACTGTAATAAATGTATTGATCATTGTTTGTTGTTGTTAGTAAATGCATGAACTAATACAACCTTATTGTAAAGTGTTACATTTTTCAAAATATCTTCTTTTCTTTTCAACAGAAAAAACAAGTGAGTAAGCGGAAAGTAAAGGGTGAACTGTCCCTTTAAATCACAGCATCATCATCTTCATTATCTTCTTCCTCATGGGCTCTAAATAGCTCAATTTGACCTCCACTATACTTCTATATTTCCAGAGCTCAGGGTTTCTGGGCGAGCAGCGTGCTGAGTTTAATCTTTCCATCCATGGATGCAGTAAGGCAGGTCCCGCAGTCCATGGCTGAGCACCAGTCCACCGTCACCACTGGAGCTTTATGACCAGCCAGAGATAAAACACTCTCCAGACCCGCTTCGGCTTTATTCAGCTGCACAAGAACACACACACACACACATTATACTATAGCTTACATTTACACTAGAAAATACAAATCAGCTGAAATTTGATCATGTACATTACCAGAACAGTTTCTGAACACGCACGCACGCACGCACGCAAACACACACACACACACACACACACACACACACACACACACACACACACACACACACACACACACACACACACACACACACACACACACACACACACACACACACACACACACACACACACACACACACACACACACACACACACACACACACAATTTTTAGGACAACTTTGATGAAAGGTTTATGTCTGTTGGACAACTTTTGGCCCGTTTCCACTGACTGGTACAGTACGGGTCAGAACGGGTCACCTTTATCAGCCCTGCATTTCCACTACCTAAAGCAGGGGTGTCCAAACTCAGTCCTGTAGGGCCGGTGTCCTGCATAGCTTAGCTCCAACTTCCTTCAACACATCTGCCTGGAAGTTTCTTGTATACCTAGAAAGAGCTTGATTAGCTGATTCAGGTGTGTTTAATTGGGGTTGGAACTAAACAACGCAGGGCACCGGCCCTCCAGGACTGGGTTTGGACACCCCTGACCTAAAGGGTACCAATGATACCCTTTTGGTGGGCATGGTGTACGACAGAAAGTTTCTGATGTCATTCTTACTCGAGGAAATCTTGCTCAAACTAAAGCCGTACGGGTCGTTCACATATCACATGAGAAGCACTTCTCACTACACAGATGCTTTATACACAGAAATACTTGTTTATAAATGTTCATTACTAACCTTTTTATGAACATGATATGATTATAACTGCAGATCAATGACAGTGTGCAATAGGCTACTGTAACATCTGCGATTCTATAAAATAAATAAATATATGAACACATACAGCCCCTTACAGTCTCTGATATGTTACCAACTCACTCAAAAAAATCAACTAGGCATGTATTGGATTTACAAAATAAAAATTTGTCAGATTGAAAAGAACAAATCAAGTTGACGTATGTTAAATGATTAATTCATGTTATTTGAAACTGAATCAAGAAATAATCCAATGAATTTGATCAGAACATGTTGAATCAATGAGACTGAGACGCTTCAAATCGACAACTCTCACTCTGGAGAGTCACTTCGCGCAAATCAGTAGGTGGCGGTAGTGCGTTTGGATGTCACCATACGAAAACAAGAAGAAGTATCACCGCGTGTTTTCGGCACAGTTTGGTAATTGGTTTTCCCAAGAGCTTCAATGTTATGCATGTTATGTTGCTGGCTAAATGTTTCCTATACATTTCATACTTTTACATTTTGAATAGGAGTACCAAAGTGAAGAAAGCTGTTTAAACTCAATTGGTAAAAAAAATGATGTTAACGTCCTACAGGTATTGCTTGGGGATCAGTTTTCTTAAGAGCCAAGGTTATTTTGTTGGCTAAATGTTTCTTATACATTTTATATTACATATTACAATTTTGGAGATTATAAAACATTTCGTATCAGAATATTAAAGAAGAAATTTGTTTAAATGTGATTGGTGCCTGCTAAAGGCTATAATAAAAGAAATATACATATATATATACAGATGAAGTCAGAATTATTAGCCCCCTTCGATTTTTTTTCTTCTTTTTTAAATAATTTCCAAATGGTGTTCAACAGAGCAAGGACATTTTTACAGTATGTCTGATAATATTTTTTCTTCTGGAGAAAGTCTTATTTGTTTTATTTTGGCTAGAATAAAAGCAGTTTTGAATTTTTTATGAACCATTTTAGAGACAAAATTATTAGCCTCTTTAAGCTATATTTTTTCTTGATAGTCTACAAAACAAACCACTGTTATACAATAACTTGCCTAATTCCCCTAACCTGCCTAGTTAACTTAATTAACCTAGTTAAGCCTTTAAATGTCACTTTAAGCTGTATAGAAGTGTCTTAAAAATATCATTTAAAATATTATTTACAGTCATCACGGCAAAAATAAAATAAATCAGTTGTTAGAAATGAGTTATTAAAATTATTATGTTTAGAAATGTGTTGAAAAAATCTTCTCTCCCTTAAACAGAAATTGGGGAAAAAATAAACAAGCGGTCTAATAATTTAACGGGGCTAATAATTCTGACTTCAACTGTATATATATATATGTATATATATATATATATATATGTATATATATATATATATATATATATATATATATATAACATGTTTTCTGTCCTTTTTGTGTTGAATTACTTAATTTGAAATCTTGCTTCATAGTATTGTCATTTAAAAAATGTAATTTAAACAACAATATTGAACAAGAAATTTACTAGCTGATTTAACAAGACGTAATTTTGTTGAAGTAAAGCTTTAGTGTTACATTGAGTAAATTAGAATCATTTTAATTAGAATAACACAATACAAACATTTTGAGTCAATTAGTTGCAAAGAAGTTAGACTGACATATTGAAACCATGTTTAATCTACAAATGTGCTTTGTGTTCATACAACATGTTCAAAGCAGTTCAGGTTTACTTGATTGGATTAGATGCATAAAGGGTGCCACCATTAAATCATGTTCATTCAACAAATTTTTTTTTGAGTGTACAGAAGAACTACACACAGCAGGCATTTAGTGCTTATTTGGGTTCAAAAACAACAGGAAATATAGCCCACAGTCAAAGCAGACCTCTCATCTGTGTCTGTAATATTCAGCAGCACATGTAGCCTCTGTTAGAGAGTCATTCTGTCATTCAGAGTTCAGAATAGTCCAAAAGGGGATGATAATAATTAAACATGGCTTAAACCATGCCTTTTGGTACCCTTTTGCCGTGCTAGGTACCCTTTGCAAAGGGTACCCAAAAAGTGGTACGGCACGGTTAGCTTTTTGGTACCTTTTGATGGTAGAAACGGACATAAAAGCGTACCAAACCGAACCGTACCATTCAGTAGAAACGAGCCAACAATGGACTTCTGAGTCTTTTTTAGTCGAGAATGTAGTTGTTTAGATTGCAACTATGCAGTTTATTTATAAGGATAGAGCCTATTTTATTATTTATAATTTTGGAGATTCAGCGGCGGACATCAGCCTGTCACTGAGCAGACCAAAGACAGTTGATGTTTCGCCACAAGATGGTGGCAGAGACAGCATGATAAGCCCTTAGAGGAAAAGAAGTCAGCGTATTTCAAACTCCAGCTGATCAGATCATTATTAATCATGTAGGTGACACTTTGAGTTGATCTCTATCTTGTGTATGTTTCAGTGCTGTATTTATACCATAGTAATCTGCTAGTGTTTGCTTTGCTTTGGATTTTTCGGGGTTAATTATTATCTCAATAATTAAAAATATCTCTGTAGACTGATGGCATTTCATGCTGTTCAGCCTTATAATCTTAAAAACTGAGCAAAATCAGCTGTTTTGTCTTTACTTTAGACATTGCGCTAGAGAATCATTCAAACACTAGCTCTACAGTGCTGTTGGTGAATGAGCATTGGTTTCTGCTGATCTGACGTCAGCTGCAGATGTGAATGAGTGGAGGAAGAAAGTAGTTCCTCATACAAAATGATAAGGGTCTCACGATCCTCCAAATCCTCGATTCGATTACATTTTCGATTCTAAAGGCACGATTCGATTCGATTTTCGATTATGAATAATTAATTAATTAATGACCAATTAATTATTTGTAGTCTACCGTTTAAACTACCTGACCTGCATGGTCTTTGTTTTACCCATAAACAAATCATACAGTAAATGAATAAAGGCAAGATACACACATAATTACCACCTGTCAATCATTTTTTCTGCGGGACTCGTGAATAGGCAGTGATCTGTGTCGGTATAATGGCATCGGTAAAAAAAAGACGCCCAGCCAACAGTATCTGAGGTGTTCGTTAAAATGACTAAGTACAAGTGAGTGAAAGATTGAAGCAGTCTACTGATCCTCTGACTGCCTGAACCCGCTGTCTCGAGCCCATGGCTGTGAGTGCGTCTGTGTGTGTGTGTCAGAGGTAGAGAGGAAGGAGGGCTGCTCAGAAATGCTACACACCACTGTGGATGTCAAATCGTTGTCGCTCTAAAATGCCATTTAAAAACAAAAACAGTGTAAACAGGGCCTGAGTGTGAACTTTTCCCCAGCGGATTTGCAACGGGGGCGGGCGGAGGAACCCTAATACGTACATAGCAGAGCTTGCAAAACTGTGTTGTTTTTTTTGTCGACAACACGAACGTTGTCAACATAACTCACTGGAAGTCCAAAATGCTTCCACACCGGCGACTTCATTGAAAGAGGAGAGGGTTTAAGTTCTGTCGACGGGTCTCCTGCTTCTGCAGTTTAACAAGCACTTCAACAAGTCTGTTTTTTTCCCGCTTGACAAGCCAAGCTGACGTGACATGGGGGCGTGGCAGCATCGCCGATTCTATTTTTTGATTCGATAATTGAAATTGAGCATAAATTTCGATTGATTTCGATTAAAAATCGATATCGTGACACCCCTACAAAATGATTTTAAAACTGTGCTTGATTTCCTTATTTATATACACGATTACGCCGTTGAACTGTTGTATAAACGCAATATCACACTCGTAGCATTGCGAATGTGGCTGCATAGCGTCACTGGTGGGACACTAAAGCAGGTCGCACACCAGAAGCGCCGCTCGGCGCCGCGACACGGCGCGTACATGACAGTTTAAAGTATCGCACACCAGACGCGCACATTCGAATGATATTTAACATGAAACTAATCAGATGGCGCTCTGTGGCGCGGCTGAAAAATGAACTGCGTCTTGAGCCGTCGCCGGGCGCCGCCAACAGCCGCCGACTTGCGGCGCCGGTGTGTGTATCCTGATAGAAACCTATGTTTAGAATTTTAAAATACATGGCGCTGCGTGGCGCTGGTGTGCGACCTGCTTAAGGCCGTACTCACACTAGGTACAGTTGCCTCGAACCGGGCCAAAGCACGCTTGTCCCCCCTCCCGTCTCCCCCGGCGGCCCGCGCTCACACCACAAACGGGCTTCGGCACGCTTACGTCATCGCTGCTGCGCTGTTCAGTGAGAAGCGCTCTCTCACTCAGCAGCACAGAGGAGATTTCTCTAGTTATATCGTTTCAGTCGTTTGATATGCCGTCAAATATTTCGCCAAACAGTCCTTAGGGATGCGGGGACACGCAGTTAGATATTTCGCCAAACAGATCCGCCACTTTTGGCGCTCATACACAATCATAAAGCTCTCGTGCTGCAGGAATGCGGAGGTCTGCTGAAGGCGCACAGCTGTGGTGCAGTGAGGGGTTCTCGTCTTTAATGAACTACGGCAGTTTGCGTTCACTGAACAGTAAGAATGATTAATAAATCCATTTGAAACAACCCCTTAAAAGTCACGTCTCGCTTTCAGTTTCAGGCTTTGGCGCGTTTTGCACTCACACTACAAGCGTACCGCGCCAAATCCCAAGTGAACCGCGCTCAGGCACACCTCTTCCAACCTGGGCACGGTACGGATGGCATAGTGTGAGTAGGCCCTAAGGCACTTGGCCTGTGGCCTTGACCAACACACACCTCCCACCAGTGCTGATATACAGCCACATCGCACTGCTACTCGTGTGATATTGATCATATATATATATTTACATACTATTATATATAAAGCAAAATTCTAAATTATACGCCTTCCTTTGGATTATTTTTTCTGTTTAAAATATTTCTCAAATGTTGTTTATCAGAGCAAGGAATGTTTCACAGTATTTCCTAAAATATTTGTTTCAACTGGAGAAAGTCTTATTTGTTTTATTTCGGCTAGAATAAAAGCAGTTTTTACATTTCTGCAAACATTTTTTGTGGATATTATTTAAGAAAATATTTTATTTTTGATTCAAGCAAAAAAAACCCTAGTTGAATTAGACTCGTGTGTAAAGCAGAACTGGGTTTACTGGGTTTTTATCCTGTAGATGTTTCAAGTGATTCGTTCAAAAAGAGTCGATTCACTGTGACAGTAGTTTACTGTGTTTTTACCCTGTAGATGTTTCCTCCAGTGCTGGAGCAGGTCAGCACATGTTGACCCTCAGAGTCGAAAGCGAAGAGTCGACCGCGGGGAACCTGAACCTGTTTATATCCGCTGTATCCTGATAGAACAAACGGCCCCACGGCATCCTGGGAAAGCGAGTACTCGGACTGCTTCACACCACAGCGGTGGATATTCCACTGAACAAACTGAACACAACACACTGATTAAAACAATGCTAATGCCAACACTGACATGTTAGGAAACAAACGTGACGATGCAAATGAACTGAATCACTGAATCACATTCTTCACAGGCACATTTGATTCATTTCAATAGAAACCTATGTGATTAATTATATATATATTATATACATAAATGAATAAAAAGCTGTAATTAGCTATTAAACAACTATTACTAGCTGTTTATTAGTTCATATTAAAATACAAACATGTGAGGGTTGTAATCTGTGACACTGTCCAAAAAATCTTTACATTATTCACTTTATTTTGTTGGGCATCTTATTGTATTTCATGGTTTAATCAATATAACACAAAAACCACCAGTAGGTGGCGCAAGTCTCTGTCTTAAATTCGTTAAATGGTTCAATAAAGTGATTTGTTCAAAAGAGTTGATTCATTCAGGAAGGAAAGTGCACAGAGAACAATATTCCCATCACCTTTCCGTCCTCTCCGATGCTGAAGACGGTGTTTTCATCATAGCTGAACTCCACGCTGTACACTTCACCATCATGAGCCTTCCAGCTCAACGCGCTCTCATAGCGCTGCATATCTGCACAAAAACATAATCATTTTTTTTGAATCCTCAGCGTTTAGCCCTGTGTAAGTCTGAAATTTTATTAATAATGCTCTTAAAATGACTTGATGAAACCTGCAGAAACCCTGGCTCTTAGTACATGATGTAACTACGCAAGAGTCACGCTTTAAATAGGAAAATTATTAAAACTCTGGTCATTTTTTGAGTGAGAGGCTAACAGTCTAATCCGGTTCAATGATCTATGCCAGGGGTTTTCAAAGTGTGAGGCGCGCCTCCCCTGGGGGGCGCCAGAGCATGTCAGGGGAGGCGCGGGAAAAATATTATATAATAAAAATATAATTATTAAGTTTAATTATATAAAATGTATTTTTATTATATTTAAACGTTTTAATTAAACAAAGCAAAAAAAAATAATATGTCTAAAATAAGAAAACCTTTTTTACCCAGAAGGCCATAGCTGTGAATTTGCTTCTGTTTGGCAAGCCCGCCAATACAGGTATATGCCTGCTAATACAATGGATCGGTTTCTGAGACGCCCCGATTCAAAGCCTTCAAGTTCAGGGCTTAAACCCAAAAGACGACGATATGATGATCAGTATTTGAGTTTAGGATTTACGTGGACAGGACCAGCTGATGAACCACAACCTTTATGTGTGGTTTATCAAGATATTTTGGCTAATGACAGCATGAGACCCGCTAAACTTCAACTGTTTTGACTGGGATGGACAGTTCTTGGATCTGTTCTATTCATTTTGAACCATCATCCGAGTTTTAAAAACGTTATACTAAAATACTTATTACTCTGTAAATAATTGCACTTTCATGCAAATGATGATAAAAGTGAGTTGACAGTCTGACATCTGTCTGTCTTTATATATATATATATATATATGTGTGTGTGTGTGTGGTGTGTAGTGTGTGTGTGCGTGCGTGTTTGGGAGGAGGGGGCGCCAATGGATAAGTTGTGTCAAAAGGGAGGCCCACTGTCTTAGACTTTGAAAAACCCTGATCTCCCTGCTGAAAAATCCATCTTAAACCAGCCTAGGCTGGTTTAAGCTGGATTTTTCAGCAGGGCTATGCTAAGCTAAACTAAGCTAAAAGTGCTCCTGTGGACCCAGAGATTGGCTGAATATTACTGACGCCCCAATTACACCAGGTTTCAGGTACTTATTTTGTAAATAGGCTCATTTTACACCTCTCCTAGAGTTAAATAGTATTACTTAAATAGTATTATAAACCATATTTTGAATGCATTCAGCCAATCTCAATGTCTGCAGACACACTTTTAGCTTAGCTTAGCATAGATCATATAATCAGATTAGACCAGTAATAATAATAACAATAATTTATCACATTTTTTATAGCGATTATCTGGACACTCAAATGGGAATCTCCTCATCCCCCACCAGTGTGCAGCATCTACTTGGATGACGTGATGGCAGCCATTTTGCGCCAAACCGCACACCAGCTGATTGGTGGAGAGGAGACAGAGTGATATGGGGAGGGTTAGGAGGCCATGATGGACAGAGGCCAGTGGGCAAATTTGGCCAGGATGCCGGGCTTAAACCTCAACATTTTTTTTCTAAGGACATCCTGGGATTTTTAGCGACCACAGATAGTCAGTACCTCAGTTTAACGTCTCATCCGAAAGCCAGCGGCGCCCCCTGCTGGCCTCACTAACACCACTTCCAGCAGCAACCTAGCTTTTCCATGTGGTCCATCCAGGTATTGACCAGGTGCAGCCCTGCTTAGCTTCAGTGGGCGACCATGTAAGAGTTGCAGAGAGTTAGCTGCCGGCATTAGCATCTCAGTCCAAAAAAACGGCCAAAGTGTTTATCTAATTTTTTATTAAAAGCTTGACTCTTCTGTAGCCAGGGCTGGCGCGTCCATAGAGGCGACCTAGGCGGCCGCCTAGGGCGGCAGTATAGAGAGGGCGGCATCCGCGACACCCCCCTTACCACCCGCGTCCTCAGTTGTATCTGCGACACCTCCCTCACCACCCGCGTCCTCAGATATATTCGTGCATAGACGACAGAATAGAGAGGGCGGCGTCAACGACACCTCCATCGTGTCCTCAGTTATATCCGCGCATAGGGCGGCAGAATTGAGGTCCTCGACACCCGCGCGTCCTAAGTTATATCCGCGCATAGGGCGGCAGAACAGAGATCGCAGTGTCCGCGACACCTCCCTCCCTCAGCACCCGCGTGTCCTCAGTTATATCCGCACATAGGGCGGCAGAATAGAGAGCGCAGTGTCCGCGACACCTCCCTCCCTCCCTCAGCACCCGTGCGTACTCAGTTATATCCGCACATAGGGCGGCAGAATAGAGAGCGTAGTGTCCGCGACACATCCCTCCCTCCCTCAGCACCCGCGTGTCCTCAGTTATATCCGCGCATAGGGCGGCAGAATAGAGAGCGCAGTGTCCGCGACACATCCCTCCCTCCCTCAGCACCCGCATGTCCTCAGTTATATCCGCACATAGGGCGGCAGAATAGAGAGCGCAGTGTCCGCGACACATCCCTCCCTCCCTCCCTCAGCACCCGCGCGTCCTCAGTTATATCCGCGCATAGGGCGGCAGAACAGAGATCGCAGTGTCCGCGACACCTCCCTCCCTCCCTCAGCACCCGCGTGTCCTCAGTTATATCCGCACATAGGGCGGCAGAACAGAGATCGCAGTGTCCGCGACACCTCCCTCCCTCCCTCAGCACCCGTGCGTACTCAGTTATATCCGCACATAGGGCGGCAGAACAGAGATCGCAGTGTCCGCGACACCTCCCTCCCTCAGCACCCGTGCGTCCTCAGTTATATCCGCGCATAGGTCGGCAGAATAGAGAGCGCAGTGTCCGCGACACATCCCTCCCTCAGCACCCGTGCGTCCTCAGTTATATCCGCGCATAGGTCGGCAGAATAGAGAGCGCAGTGTCCACGACACCTCCCTCCCTCCCTCAGCACCCGCGCGTCCTCAGTTATATCCGCGTATAGGTCGGCAGAATAGAGAGCGCAGTGTCCGCGACACATCCCTCCCTCAGCACCCGCGCGTCCTCAGTTATATCCGCGCATAGGTCGGCAGAATAGAGAGCACAGTGTCCGCGACACCTCCCTCCCTCCCTCAGCACCCGCGCGTCCTCAGCTATATCCGCGCATAGGGCGGCAGAATAGAGAGCGCAGTGTCCGCGACACATCCCTCCCTCCCTCAGCACCCGCGCGTCCTCAGTTATATCCGCGCATAGGGCGGCAGAATAGAGAGCGCAGTGTCCGCGACACATCCCTCCCTCCCTCAGCACCCCCGCGTCCACAGTTATATCCGCGCATAGGTCGGCAGAATAGAGAGCGCAGTGTCCGCGACACCTCCCTCCCTCCCTCAGCACCCGCGTGTCCTCAGTTATATCCGCGCATAGGGCGGCAGAATAGAGAGCGCAGTGTCCGCGACACATCCCTCCCTCCCTCAGCACCCGCGCGTCCTCAGTTATATCCGCGCATAGGTCGGCAGAATAGAGAGCGCAGTGTCCGCGACACCTCCCTCCCTCCCTCAGCACCCGCGTGTCCTCAGTTATATCCGCGCATAGGTCGGCAGAATAGAGAGCGCAGTGTCCGCGACACCTCCCTCCCTCCCTCAGCACCCGCGTGTCCTCAGTTATATCCGCGCATAGGTCGGCAGAATAGAGAGCGCAGTGTCCGCGACACATCCCTCCCTCCCTCAGCACCCGCGTGTCCTCAGTTATATTCGCGCATAGTGCGCTGGAAAAGAGGTCCGCGACACCTCACTTCATTTTCATAACCGGTCACTTACGTTTTCACATTGGGGTTGAGGGCGGCGTGATCGTCCTCTGCCTAGAGCGGCAGTTCAGCTCGCTCCGGCCCTGTCTGTAGCTACATCATATACTAAGATGGACCAGTCAAATTGAAGACTTTTAAAGACCATTTTTAATTAAATTTCTTCTTACCGAACAGTCGAATGATCCCATCTGCCGCTCCCGTCACCAGCAGGTTTCCGTTGTGGTTAAACGCTGTGCAGTTTATCGCTACTGGACCCGGCTCTAACGCAAACTGCAGCTGAACACAAACACAACACAAACATGCTCAGAGTCGGGTGTACGGCGTTACTGTATTCTGATGACATTTTTGGGGACAGCAGTAATGTAGCAAATTACATTTTAAACTTGTGTTGTATATGATTTACAGTTACTAAAGTCAGTGGCATGGTGGCTCAGTGGTTAGCACTGTCACCTCACAGCAAAAAGGTCGCTGGTTCAATGCCCAGCTTTCTGTGTGCAGTTTGCATGTTCTCCCTGTGTTGGTGTAGGTTGTGCTCTGGTTTCCCCCACAGTCCAAACACATGCACTTATAGGGGAATTGATTAACTAAATTGGCCATAGTGTATGAGTGTGTGTGTGTGTGTGTGTGAGAATGAGTGTGTATAGGTGTTTCCCAGTGCTGGGTTGCATTTGGAAGGGCATCCGATGTGTAAAATATATGCTGGAATAGTTGGTGCAATGTCCAAAACATGCAATGTCCGCTAAAATAGACACAGGCAAAAGAGGTATTTGAGTGCATCTGAGCTTCAGTACCTGCTGTTTGACAGTCTTGGTGTCCCAGAGCAGTAACTGGCCAGAAACAGGAGCAGATCCTCGAGGTTCGCTCTCCATCACCGCACCAGAATGAGCTGCGGCGGAGCAAACGAACGACGTCCCACTCGGGCTACAGGCCAGAGACAGGATCCTGCACACATTTACCTTCATTTCACTCAGCACACACTTTAAAGTACACATGACATCAAATCTAAGCATAGGGATTTTGTTCGCTCACATTGCTAAATCTGTTGTGAACAATTCCTCTGTGTGCGTCATTAAAGACGAAAAGACAGTTTGCCTTTGTAATCTTTAATTGAAATCTGAAAATGCACTTTGTTTTGGATTCAATTCACAGATTAGTTCTGTCTGAGGCAGTAGGTGTGGCTAACATACTTAACCACGCCCCTCCAACTGTCAGTTTAGACATCAAACAGAAATGGTGAGGAGGAGGAGTCTGTTGGGGTGTAATAACTCTCCTCAAACCCTTTCACGCATCTTTCTGAATGCAATGCCTACTTTACTACATCCAATCAGCTCGCAGTAGAAGAAACCAAGCCACGCCCACCGTTTTCTCATTTAATATTATATTTCTCTAAGAACTGCATCACAATATTACAAAAATGTGAATATATCTATTGTTTGTTTCTCTTGATTCTTGAAGTTGTATTTTTCCTAACAAATATAATATTATAATATAATATTTGAGGACTCACCGTGGGTGAACGTCATCTATGGTCATCTCATAGAGGCACTTTTTGGCATCCGTGTCATAAAGCTTCACTGTGCCGACGCCACTGCCTAGCAACAACTATAAAAACACCACATAAAAAACACCTTAATACTCATGTGTACTATTACTGGAGGATTAGATACTAATATCCTATATTGTTCATATTGAAATGTAATATATATATATATATATATTGTGATCTTCAGAGACACGTTCAACTGATTAAAACAAATGGATAAGAAATGTAACATTTTAAATTTAAAATAATACAGTTAACAAATGTAAAAGTTTGAATTTGAAAAGAAACAGTTAAGACATTTGAATTTTAAATTTAAAAGGAAACAGTTAAGACATTTACATTTTTGAATTTGAAAAGAAACAGTTAGGACATTCAAATTTTGAATTTAAAAGGAAACGGTAAAAACAGTTAAAGTTTGAATTTGAAAAGACACAGGACATTTGAATTTGAAAAATAAATCAGTTAAGAAAAATAAAACATTTAAATTAATGTTGATCTTTTGAAGTTTCTATTCATCAAATAATACTGAGATTTAAGCAATAACAGCTTCTACTAAAAATAATATTCAGAAATGTTTCCCGGGTATCAAATCATCACATTATAATGATTTCTGATGCATCCTGTGACTTTAGACATTAGTAATGACGCTGAGAAATATCAGCTTTAAGTCACACAAATAAATTCCACTTTACAATTTATTTACACAGAAAACTGTTCATTTTTCATTAACTGTTTTTAATGAAATTTAAAATTTGAAATTAAAATTTAAGAAAAAGTAACATGAAAAAACATGAAAATCATACTAACACTAAACATTTGAGGTGTAAATACTTATTAAAGAGCCATGAAACACTAATATAATTGAATTATAATACTAAAAAGTATATTCATAAGTATTTTGAGCATATTTAAAGTGAAAGTTCACCAGATTTTTTAAACATCTGATGAAAACTAAATGGCTTTTTGTATCGGACCTTGCTTCTTGTTGTTGTTTTGTTCAAATTATTTTATTTTATTTTATTTTATTTAAATCAAATTAAATAGCATTAAGTTAAAGTTTATATTGTTTGTTATTTTTATTTATTGTTTTATTTTATATTGTTTATTTATTTTAATTAATTAATTTATTTATTAATTTGTTTATATTTTAATGTGTGAATTTTCCTTGCCGTGTTGATTATTCTGTGCTGTACAGTTTGCAACAATAATAAAAACAAAGTGGTTCTGAAACGGGGCTTTGCTGATTTTTTAACAGTGTTTTACCAGTCTGTCAGGTTTTGCCGCCCATTCCAGAGACAGCAGAGGAGATTTGGACATGATAGTGGCTTTGGTTTGCATGATGGGATTGAAGGCCCAAACCTTCACCACCCCATCCACATCTAGACTGGCCACCCGTCTGCCGGAGCAGTCCACCCTGAACACACAAAACAAACACAACAAATACAATAACACACACATATCCACAACACATTTCCCAAATGATGTCCAACAGAGCAAAGTATGTTTAATTACACATTATTAATCATAATAGTGTTAATAACTCATCTCTAATAACTGATTTATTTTCTCTTTGCCATGATGACAGTAAATAATATTAGACTAGATATTCTTCAAGACACTTCAGCTTAAAGTGACATTTAAAGGCTTAACTAGGGTAATTAGGGTAAAGTTAGGGTAATTAGGCAAGTCATTGTATAACAGTGGTTTGTTCTGGAGACAATTCAAAACTATACTGCTTAAGGGGGCTAATAATATTGACCTTAATTCTGATTGTTCTTTCTGATTGTACCTGCAGTGCATGATGGAGGAGTGATGCTCTCCGTACTCTTCCTGACTCAGCTTTATAAAGGGCTGCTCTGCTCCGGCTCCGCCCACATCACACACTCGCGTCTGATTGGCTGAGTCTGTTTGATCAGGAGGAGCTTCGGTCTGAGTGTCTGGATCTGAATCAGTTTTCTTCTCTGAACCCTGAAACACACACACACACACACACACACACACACACACACACACACACACACACACACACACACACATTATATTAGATTAGATTAAACATTACTGTCTTTATGGGTAACAAAATGCCATTATTACATCTAACCAAAGTGCAAATATAAGCAGTAAGTGGATAAATAATATACAAAATACATATAGAGAGGGCTCAATGGTTAGCACTGTGGCCTCACAGCAAGAAGGTCGCTGGCTTGCGTCTCAGCTAGGTCATTTGGTGTTTCTGTGTGGAGTTTGCATGTTCTCCCTGTGTTGGCGTGGGTTTCCTCCGGGTGTTCTGGTTTCCCCCACAGTCCAAACACATGCGCTATAGGGGAATTGATAACCTAAATTGGTCGTAGTGTATGTGTGGGTGTGAATGAGTGTGTATGGGTGTTTCCCAGTACTGGGTTGCAGCCGAAAGGGCATCTGCTGTGTAAAGCATATGCTGAAATAGTTGGTGGTTCATTCCACGGTGTATTTAGTACTACTCGTGAGCACTGGTTGTTTTCTCTGACCTGCGCGGCGTGTTTGGAGAACAGCTCTTTCCTCTCCTTCTCGTGGTCTTGATGCCGTCTCTGTCGAGGATGAGACGTGGACAACTCTGCCGTCATGCTGGAAACACTGGGCGGCTTCACCTCTTTATCTTTTGCTTTCGAAGACTGAAAACAAGACAGAGAAATCATCCGATTTGCAGGAAAATTATGTAAACAGGACTGCAAGTAAACAAATAGAGCATAATGGAGTCTTGTTGCTGTAAGTAGTAAGTAAGGGCAAGCAGTAAGGACAACAGCTCCAGTGCTTCACCACACACCAGCTATTGGGGGAGGGGAGAGACCATAACAGAGCCAACTGAGTGGATGGGGATGATTAGGAGGCCATAATTGAGGGAATTTGGCCAGGATACACCCCTACTCCTTACCAGAAGTGCCATGAGATTATTAATAACCACAGAGAGTCAGGACCTCAGTTTAACGTCTCATCCGAAAGACAGCGCTCACTGACAGTATAGTGTCCTCTTCACTATACTGGGGCATTGGGACCTATACAGAATGCTGTTGATCACAAGTTGATCACAAGTTGATCGCCCCCTACTGGCCTCACTAACACCACTGCCAACAGCAGCCTAGTTTTCCCATGTGTTCTCCCATCCAGGTACTGACCAGGCTCAGTACTGCTTAGCTTCGGTGAGTAACCACTCATGGGCTGCAGGGTGACATGGCTGGATGTAGAGATCTGCGCGGGACTAAATTTTGAATCCCGCTCCCGCCCGCACCCGCCAGGTTTTAGCCCGAACCCGACCGCTCCCGCTTATATTAAGAATTTATTGTCCCGCTGCCCGACCCGCCCCGTTTTCTGGCCGCCGTGCCCGATCCCGCTAAAGAGCGGGGGAGAACAAAACCGAAAATCCCCCAGCTATACAGTCCAGACAGCCAAGCTGTCTGTATAAACACACACACACACAGCACCAAGCACACACACACAGACAAATCTCTCTCTCTCATACGCGCACGCACTAACACACACACACAAGCACGAAGCAGACACACAGGCGTTTGCTGTTATATCAACTCAAAGGCTTGTAATACCATGTATCAAGTACCAATGTAATACCAAAAGGTTTTATATAAAGGTATATAAATACTGAGTCGCGCCAGCTCCGGGCCGCAGCGCACATTACTCTCGGGCCGATTCAGGCGCGGTCCGCGCGGATGCGGCAGCGTCGGCTCGCTTACGGCCGCCACATCTGCCGGAATCGGGCAGTGAGTCCACAAGCATCCGGAGTCCAGCAGCCGGAGCCGGGCTGAGTGGTAAGTCTCCGGCAGGCGAGAATCTAGCCGGAACTGGCCCGAGTGTATTTTGCTATCTGGGAAAGCTCTCTCCCTCTCATTCGCATGCGCACGCACTAACATACACACACACAAGCACACACACACAGGCAAAGCTCTCTCTCTCTCTCTCTCTCTCTCTCTCTCTCTCTCTCTCATTCGCATAGCAATATCCGCGATATTGCTAGACAGCCCGCTCCCGTCCCAGATTAAACCAGTTACCGACCGCTCCCGCGATTTATTCGGAAGTTTATTCCCGCGCCGTAGAAATCTGGTCGGGTCCTGCGGCGCCTGCGGGACAGCCGCGGGAATGCAGACCTCTAGCTGGATGTACCTGCATGGAAGCGGCGGCGTCCTTCCGCCCGAGTGCGCTCTGTGTGGGGGACGACTGTGGCCCCGGGGCAGTTCTGCCAGGAGCCCGGCGGCCCTGAGGCAGGAAAGTGGAAAAGAAGTTTCTGGATGGAGTGGCCATGTTGACGTTCCTCTGACTGGACACCAGATCTCTGAGAAAACACACCACACATCAAAACAAACATTTCGTTAATGCACAATTTACAGATCTGAGACTGATCTGGCTCCATGGTTTCTCCACTCATGTCAGGATTATTTGTGTAATAGTGTACTGAAGCAGTGTGTTTGAGCGTCTCACAGCTCAGTGTCTCCCAGTCGGTCCATGTGCTGCACGTATGGAGGGAGTTTATGATGCACCATCTGCTCGTCTTTCTTCAGTCGAGACTCACCCTGAAGAGCGAACACCTGCACCGGACGGAGAGAGAGAGACACACACAGCATCAGCGCATACAAGATCAGCTGGAGATCACAACATTCTGTCAATGTTGATTTATGGAGTTTATACGTTATTACTATATTATGTGGTGTGTGTGTGTGTATATGACTGAGAGAGTGAGTGGGTGAGTAATTGAGTGTGTGTGTGTGCGAGCATGAGTGAGTGTGAGTGCAAGAGTAAGTGCATGCATACATGTGTGTGTGCATGTATGAGTATTGGTATGCGTATGTGCCAGTGCATGCATGCAAGTCTGTGTGTGCGTAATTGAGTGTGTGTGTGTGTGTGTGCATGTGTGTCTGAGTGTGTGTGTACAGGTGTGTGAGTGCGTGTATGAGAGTATGTGTATGCGTATGTGCTTGGGCATGCATGCAAGAGTGTCTGTGCGAGTGTAATTGAGTGTGTGAGTGAGTGTGCACAAGTGTGTAAGTGCATGCATGAGAGTCTGTGTGTGTGTGTGTATGTACTTGTGCATGCATGCGTGAGTGTCTGTGTGTGTGTAATTGAGTGTGTGTGCATGTGCGTCTGAGTGTGTGTGTACAGGTGTATGAGTGCGTGTATGAGAGTAAGTGTGTGCGTATGTGCCTGTGCATGCATGCAAGAGTGTCTGTGCGAGTGTAATTGAGTGTGTGTGTGTGTGTGTATGCATCTGAGTGCGTGAGTGAGTGTGCACAAGTGTGTGAGTGCATGCATGAGAGTCTGTGTGTGTGTATGTGCCTGTGCATGCATGCAAGTCTGTGTGTGCGTCTGAGTGTGTGTGTACAGGTGTGTGAGTGCGTGTATGAGAGTATCTGTGTGCGTATGTGCCTGTGCATACATGCAAGAGTGTCTGTGTGAGTGTAATTGAGTGTGTGTGTGTGTGTATATGCATCTGAGTGCGTGAGTGAGTGTGCACAAGTGTGTGCATGAGAGTCTGTGTGTGTATGTGCTTGTGCATGCATGCATGAGTGTCGGTGTGTGTGCAATTGAGTGTGCGTCTGCGTCTGAGTGCGTGTGTACAGGTGTGTGAGTGTGTGTATGAGAGTATGTGTGTGCGTATGTGCCTGTGCATGCATGCAAGAGTGTCTGTGTGAGTGTAATTGAGCGTGTGTGTGTGTGTATATGCATCTGAGTGCGTGAGTGAGTGTGCACAAGTGTGTGAGTGCGTGTATGAGAGTCTGTGTGTGTGTGTGTGTGTGTGTGTGTGTGTATGTGCTTGTGCATGCATGCATGAGTGTCTGTGTGTGTGTAATTGAGAATGTGTGTGTGAATACATGCGTTCATGAGTGTGGGTGCGCACATGTCTGTTTTTGTGAATTGTGGGGACATTATATAGGTCTCCATTGTTTTCATACTATATAAACTGTATTTTCTAAAGGCCTAACCCCACCATACCCCCGTGTACAGATTGAGAAGCTTTTGGAGAAATGAACATCAGCAATGTCCTCATATTTCACCACCTTCTTGTAAAACCTATGTCATTATACAGATTTGTGTCCTGATCTGTCACAATAACATGTACACGTGTGTGTGTGTGTGCGTGCGTGTGTGTTTGTGTGTGTGTGTGTGTGTGTGTGTGTGTATGTGTGTGCATAGATGTGTGTGTTACCGTCTGTCGGAGTTGTTCGTTGTCCTCTTGCAGGCTGGTGATCCTCTGAACTTCACTGTCGAAACTCAGCAGCGCAGGAAGAGGTGAACAAGTTAAAGAGCTCAACAGCATCTTCATCAACAGCAGGATTAAACATGATCAGATTAAACACTGAACACTGAATTCATGAAAAATGATCTTGTAAGTTGTTTTCAATCTGTATTTCAAGCAGTATTATAATAAATTGTATTATAACAATTGAACTAATTCTGTTTAAACTTAATCTGAAAAGCACGTACTTCTGGTTCATATAATGACATATTTGACTGTATTAGAGCACATCTCTGCTCATAATTATTATAATAGCGTCTGTAGGGGGTCTGGATATGTATGCGAAGTAATATGATAGTATATTTTACTGTTTTAGTGTCCATCTCTGGTCATAATAGCGTCTGTATGGGGTCTGGATATGCATGCTGGGTTATATGATGGTATATTTTACTGTTTTAGTGTCCATCTCTGGTCATAATAGTGTCTATATAGGGTCTGGATATGCATGTTGGGTTATATGATGGTATATTTGACTGTATTAGAGCACATCTCTGGTCATAATAGCGTCTGTATGGGGTCTGGATATGCATGCTGAGTTATCTGACAGTATATTTGACAGTATTAGAGCCCATCTCTGGTCATAATAGCGTCTGTATGGGGTCTGGATATGCATGCTGGGTTATATGATGGTATATTTGACAGTATTAGAGCACATCTCTGGTCATAATAGTTGTAATAGCAGCTGTATGAGGTGTAGATATGCATGATGGGTTATATGATGGCATATTTTACTGTGTTAGAGCCCATCTCTGGTCATAATAGCGTCTGTATGGGGTCTGGATATGCATGCTGAGTTATCTGATGGTATATTTGACAGTATTAGAGCACATCTCTGGTCATAATAGTTGTAATAGCAGCTGTATGAGGTGTAGATATGCATGCTGAGTAATATGATGGTATATTTGACAGTATTAGAGCTCATCTCTGGTCATAATAGCATCTGTCTGGGGTCTGGATATGCATGCTGGGTTCTATGATGGTATATTTGACATATTAGTGTCCATCTCAGGTCATAATAGCGTCTGTATGGGGTCTGGATAAGCATGCCGAGTTATCTGACGATATATTTGACTGTATTAGAGCCCATCTCAGGTCATAATAGCGTCTGTATGGGATCTGGATATGCATGCTGGGTTATATGATGGCATATTTTACTGTGTTAGAGCACATCTCTGGTCATAATAGCGTCTGTATGGGGTCTGGATATGCATGCTAGGTTATGTGATGGTATATTTGACAGTATTAGAGCCCATCTCTGGTCATAATAGTGTCTGTCTGGGGTCTGGATATGCATGCTGGGTTATAAAAATGTATATAGTACAGTATTAGAGCACATCTCTGGTCATAATAGCGTCTGTATGGGGTCTGGATAAGCATGCTGGGTTCTATGATGGTATATTTGACAGTATTAGAGCCCATCTCAGGTCATAATAGCGTCTGTATGGGGTCTGGATAAGCATGCCGAGTTATCTGACGATATATTTGACTGTATTAGAGCCCATCTCAGGTCATAATAGCGTCTGTATGGGATCTGGATATGCATGCTGGGTTATATGATGGCATATTTTACTGTGTTAGAGCACATCTCTGGTCATAATAGCGTCTGTATGGGGTCTGGATATGCATGCTAGGTTATGTGATGGTATATTTGACAGTATTAGAGCCCATCTCTGGTCATAATAGTGTCTGTCTGGGGTCTGGATATGCATGCTGGGTTATAAAAATGTATATAGTACAGTATTAGAGCACATCTCTGGTCATAATAGCGTCTGTATGGGGTCTGGATAAGCATGCTGGGTTCTATGATGGTATATTTGACAGTATTAGAGCCCATCTCAGGTCATAATAGCGTCTGTATGGGGTCTGGATAAGCATGCCGAGTTATCTGACTGTATATTTGACTGTATTAGAGCACATCTCTGGTCACAATAGCATCTGTCTGGGGTCTGGATATGCATGCTGGGTTCTATGATGGTATATTTGACTGTGTTAGAGCCCATCTCAGGTCATAATAGCGTCTGTGTGGGGTCTGGATATGCATGCTGGGTTCTATGATGGTATATTTGACTGTATTAGAGAAAATCTCTGGTCATAATAGTTGTAATAGCAGCTGTATGTGGTGTAGATATGCATGCTGAGTAATATGATGGCATATTTTACTGTGTTAGAGCCAATCTCTGGTCATAATAGCTTCTGTCTGGGGTCTGGATATGCATGCTGGGTTATGTGATGGTATATTTGACATATTAGTGTCCATCTCTGCTCATAACAGCGGCTGTATGGGGTCTGGATATGCATGCACTGGAACAGCACACTGAGGAAGTTGTGCAGGGACACCAGGAAGGTGTCGGCCCACTGGCGGGAGAAATACGCAGAGAAACTGGGATTCTGCTCTGGAGCCGGAATGAAGGGCAGAGAGAACCAGTCGCGCCACTCAGCCTGAGCCTGCAGCTCCAGCGCCTGCTTCTGGAAGAACTCCTGCGTCTTCTCCACGTTCTTCACCTGACACAGTCATTACAAACACACATGCTTTCATTAATGAACATATAACACATTGGTCATATAAGAGGTGTGTGTGTGTGTGTGTGTGTGTGTGTGTGTGTGTGTGTGTGTGTGTATAAGATAGATGGCTGGTCCCAGAGTTGCTGATGGTGGGCTTGTGTGTGTGTGCGCGCACCTGAACAGTGTGTATGAGGTAGAAGCGGTACAGGCTGGTCCTCAGTTTGCTGACGGTGGGCTTGTAAACGTCCTCCAGCCTGCAGAAGAGCCGGCGCTCCAGGTTGGCCCAGTACTCCTTCAGTCCGGTCAGATCACAGCTCTGGATGAGCAGCTGCAGCTGATCCATGATCTTATCCACCTGCAGATCAATCATCCACCATCAATACACACATGCACGCTCACACACACACACACACATGCATGCTTGTTCACACTATCATTCACACACAGACATAGGCCTGCTTGCACATACACATACTCACACAAACTCACTCACTCACACACACACACACACACACACAAGCACACATAAAGGCAAGCTTGCTGACGCACACACACACACACACACACCCATGCACACATACACGCACACTTGATCGCATACACATACTTGCTCACATGCACACATACATGCAAACTTGCTCACACACACACTTGCACACACGCAAACATACGTATACGCTTGCTGGCACACACACACACACACACACACACATACATGCATACACTTGCTGACGTGTGCACACACACACTCGCTCGCTCACATGCATGCACGCATAAACACATGCTTGCTTGCACAGCACACACACACATACATACATACACGCATGCTTGATCGCATGCACGCATACATGCAAACTTGCTCACACACACACTCGAATGCACCCAAACATGATTGCTGGCACACACTCCCACACTGGCTCACATACACGCATTTTTGCTCACACACACTCTCACACACATGCTCGCTTCAACACACACACACACACACACGCACGTACACATACTCCCACACTGGCTCGCATACACACTTACACACATGGACGCATGCACTCACACTCACTCACATACATGCATTTTTGCTCACACATACACACACACACACACACACACACATGCTCGCTTGAACAAACACATGCACGTACACACACTCCCAAACTGGCTCGCATGCACGCATGCACCCACACTCACTCACTCACATACACGCATTTTTACTCACACACACACTGACACACATGCTCGCTTCAACACACACACGCACGCACGTACGTACGTACGTACGTACGTACGTACACACACTCCCACACTGGCTCGCATGCACGTTTACACACATGGACGCATGCACCCACACTCACTCACATCCACGCATTTTTGCTCACACACACACACACTCTCACACACATGCTCACTTGAACACACACATACACGCACGTACGTACGTACACACACTCCCACACTGGCTCGCATGCACGCTTACACACATGGACGCATGCACCCACACTCACTCACATACACGCATTTTTGCTCACACATACACACACACACTCTCACACACATGCTCGCTTGAACACACACACACACGCACGCACGTACGTACGTACGTACACACACTCCCACACTGGCTCGCATGCACCCTTACACATATGGACGCATGCACCCACACTCACTCACATACACACATTTTTGCTCACACACACACACACATACTCTCACACACATGCCTGCTTGAACACACGCGCTTACACACACACTGACCCTGAAGCCCTTCTCCTTGTCTGTTTTGATCTCGGAGTCCAGGTGTTTGAGTGTGCTGGTGAAGCCTCGGTAGATCAGGTACTCTCTCACCAGATCATCTGTTCTCTCCACCGCAGACGCCATCACACACACTGCAACACACAAGACAGACAGACAGACAGAGCAAAATCTCAGCATTAGGTATCCAGTACAAACCCAAAAACCCTACGGCTTTATGTCCCGTTTACACTTGAGCAACTAAATGAACCCCAAAGTTTATTTAACTGGTTGTATTTTAATTACATTACAACATCGGTGCTGTGAAAGGAACCGTATAAAATGAAAAAAAGTTCCAGATCACGGGAAGTTTATCAGTATGGGAACAACACAAGCTCGGCATATACCATCAACGCTTTAGCACAATAACGAAATACCTTTTCAAAAATACCTAATAATTTGATTATCATTTATTCATATTATTTAAAATTTACTTCATGTATTCCCTGCAGAAAAAATCCAGCTTAAACCAGCCTAGGCTGGTAAGCTGGTTTTAGCTGGTCGACCAGGCTGGTTTTAGAGGGGTTTTGGTCATTTCCAGGCTGCTTTCCAGCCTGGTCTTAGCTGGAAACTGACCAGCAAAATCCAGCTAAAACCAGCTTGACCAGACTGGTTTAACCTGGACATAGCTGGTTTTGGCTGGGCTCCCAGCCTGGCTAGGCTGGTCAAGCTGGTTTTAGCTGGTCATCTCCCAGCCTGACCAGCTAAGACCAGGCTGGAAATGGCTGGAAACCAGCCTGGAAATGGCCAAAACCCCTCTAAAACCAGCCTGGTCGACCAGCTAAAACCAGCCAACCAGCCTAGGCTGGTTTAAGCTGTTTTTTTCAGTAGGGTTTTTATGTTGCTTAAAATATTAGTATTATATATTTAGTAATATATTTTAGTATTACTTTTAACATTACGCTTGAATGTATTTACGTTTGTGAGCTTATATTTAAGCTTCCTAACATTGTTATCTTTATTTTAACAGTGTTATAATATATGTACAAACACAGATCATGTGTATAAATGCGATGCTTTCCATGCACGAACTATTACATTGCATTCATTTAGATTAAGCTGGAGATTCCTCATCAATAAGCGCATATTAGAGGTGCTATCACACACACACACACTCACACACACACACACACACACACACACACACACACACACACACACACAAAAGCCTCGTTTTAAATGCTGCTTCTGTAAAGCGTTTACATAAAATGACCAAACAGTAAATAACGAGTCTTCCAGTGTGTTTCTCACTCATGTGGATGCTCTGAGACAAACACGACTTCATGCATGACACGTGCTGTTCACTTCCGCTTTACATGTGGCTACATTTATCTACAAATACACGCAAATACAACATGTATACAATGGAAACAAATAGATTTATAAGGATTAAACAGGCTCTTACTTCACTGCCAGAAAGCGTTTCTTCCTGTTTTTGCCTTCTGCTTGTCATGTGACTGCTGGTGTCACGTGAAGTCTCCAGCGTCATGTGAAGATGTCAGCTGATCCTCCGCCAGAGGGCGCGCGTTAACAACAAACCGAACTTTAACACTCCCTTTAAAACACCGTGCAATGCTTTTAGTGTGTTTTAGCAAGCTGTTATGCAGTGCTGTGTTGTGCTTTCATTTTCAATTTGATGGGAATATCCACAGTTTGTTGGAAGACAAAGCCCACAACAATACAGAAATCAAGCACATTTCTACCACATTATTCGTTTTTCTACTTTTTTACATAATATGCATACACTAATTTTCCCTGTTTTATAAAAAAAAATCATATATTAAAAAATATAGAAAGATAATATATTATGATACACTCACCGGCCACTTTATTAGGTACACCTGTCCAAGTTGCTTGCTAACGCAAATTTCCAATCAGCCAATCACATGGCAGCAGCTCAATGCATTTAGGCATGTAGACATGATCAAGACGATCTGCTGCAGTTCAAAGCGAGGATCAGAATGGGGAAGAAAGAGGATTTAAGTGACTTTGAACGTGGCATGGTTGTTGCTGCCAGACGGGCTGCTCTGAGTATTTCAGAAACTGCTGATCTACTGGGATTTTCACGCACAACCATCTCTAGGGTTTACAGAGAATGCTCCGACAAAGAGGAAATATCCAGTGAGCGGCAGTTCTGTGGGCGCAAATGCCTTGTTGATGCCAGAGGTCAGAGGAGAATGGCCAGACTGGTTCCAGCTGATAGAAAGGCAACAGTAACTCAAATAAGCACTCGTTACAACCGAGCTCTGCAGAAGAGCATCTCTGAACACACAACACGTCCAACCTTGAGGCGGATGGGCTACAGCAGCAGAAGAGCACACCGGGTGCCGCTCCTGTCAGCTAAGAACAGGAAACTGAGGCTACAATTCACACAGACTCACCAAAACTGGACAATAGAAGATTGGAGAAACGTTGCTGCTCTGATGAGTCTCCATTTCTGCTGACACATTCAGATGCTCGGGTCAGAATTTGGCCTCAACAACATGAAAGCATGGATCATCCTGCCTTATATCAGCGGTTCAGGCTGCTGGTGGTGGTGTAATGGTGTGGGGGAGATTTTCTTTGGGTCCATTAGTACCAATTGAGCATCAACGCCACAGCCTACCTGAGCATTGCTGCTGACCATGTCCATCCCTTTATGAGCACAGTGTCTCCATCTTCTGACGGCTACTTCCAGCAGGATAACGCAGCATGTCATAAAGCTCAATCATCTCAGACTGGTTTCTTGAACATGACGATGAGTTCACTGTACTCAAATGGCCTCCACAGTCACCAGAGCTCAATCCAATAGAGCAGCTTTGGGATGTGGTGGAACGGGAGATTGGCATCATGGATGTGCAGCCGACAAATCTGCAGCAACTGTGTGATGCTATCATGACAATATGGAGCAAAATCTCTGAGGAATATTTCCAGTATCTTGTTGAATCTACGCCATGAAGGATTAAGGCAGTTCTGAAGGCAAAAGGGGTCCAACCCAGTACTAGTAAGGTGTACCTAATAAAGTGGCCGGTTAGTGTATATATGTGTGCGTGTGTATAGATAGATAGATAGATAGAAAGAAACAGGCAAAAATGTATATATCCCAAATAATTTTTGTTGTAAACACATTTTAACATTTTTATTTGATCGTTTTGTTGTAGGGTGACACAAACACACACAATTGAAACACAAGCCGTTAAAATCTCAAGCATTTTCTTCTTTATTCTTTAGTAACGTTACACACATAACAAAAAATAAACGCTCTTAAGGAAACTGAAGGGTTATACTGTATAAGTGTGTGTTCAATCCTGCATTCCAGCTGATGTGTGTGTGTTCAGCGGGCGGATGGACTCGGCAGCGTGTGATTGGTCAGTAAATCTTTACAGGCACGAGGAGAGAGAAAATCCTTCAGTGTAAACTTGCAGAGGACGAACATCACTTCAGAAAGCATTCCTGAACCACATGAGGTACTAAAACCAGCAGAAGCCAAGCAGAAGACCAGCACAACACACACACACTCACACCCACACACACACACACAAAGGAGAAGCATTGGTCCACAGGATTGTCACTATTGAAGGCATCAGTGACGCACACACACACACACACACACACACACACAGGTTTCTCCATCATACACTGCTGTGATTATGGCACTGATGATTTTTGGCACCAGAGGACAGAAATAAAACTATAAAAGTGTTAAAAATATCAGATTAATTAGCATAAATAAATGAAAAACATAATTAACCACAGTGTCATGTTTCACCCCTGAACACGTTACACTCTCAGAAATAAAGGTACATGAGCTCTCACTGAGGTGGTACCTTTTTGTACTTCAAGGGTCCTTATTAATACCTCAAGGGTGCATATTAGTACCTAAGAAGTGCAAAAGTGTTCCTCTGAAAGTTTGTAGGTACTAATATATACTTTTGAGGGACCAATATGGACCCTTTAAGTACAAATATGTACCTTTCGAAAAGGTACCACCCCAGTGACAGCTCTCATACCTTTATTTCTGAGAGTGAACGGTAAAATAAAACTTGTTGTGTATTTATTTAGAGCTAATACTTTTTGCATTGTAACAAATATGTGTGTGTGTGTCTGTATTTATTTATTTATTGCCAATAAATGATGGATAATGATAGTTTGATGGTTTAAAGGTGCTGTGTGTGAGTTTTTGACTCTTCTAGAACATTAAACACTATAATAAGTTTGCAGATATTTAGAAACATGCTCAGTGAACATTTTTGTTTATCTGAAAACAATGCTGAAGTCAGATATTCTGCTTTGAACATGTGTGTTACGTGCTTCTGTCATTGTTTTGGTCATTTAACCCGCCCAATGCCAGTCTAGCCAATTATATTTCAGCATCCTGGGTTGCCAGATTGTGGAAAACAGCACATTTCATTCATTCAGTCAGGAAGACTCTCTCAAACATGCATCTTTGACTGAAATGTGACCTCTGGTGGACAGTAGCAGACTCTAAAATGAGACACAGATTCAGAGTTCCACATGACGTGGTTATTAATTAGCAAATAATATAAATATTATGAATGTAAACATTAGGTGAGCAGGTTACATTGTAAACTCTGTGTCCTAACACCACGCTATCTGACAAGATACACAGTGATGAGCAGTTTGGCTGTTTGCACCAGACGAAACACGACAGAAATGTAAATACAGCTATTGAGAAACACAGAATAGTGCACTCACTGCACTCCAGCACAATGCTAAGGTTTATAATCTGATTAATACACATTAAACCTGTTTAACATGATTAAATGCAGATGCTGAGTCACTGATGTGTGTTGGTTCACAGTTCTGAAGTTCAATTTTAGGGGGTTTATTTTATTCTACAGATCTGAGGTGAACTATCTGCTGCTGCTTTCAGTAGTATGGCAATAAATGTGATGTGAAATGGCATTCAGACTCACATTATTAACATAACACTGAATAAAGCACATGAGCTGCACCTGAGCTGATCATTCATCCTGTTGTTCAGCTGTGAGAAATTAAAGCCGTTTCTACAATATTAATTTCAGGTGCTGGTTAGGATAAAAACTCTATCTTCTATCGCGTGTCGTTGCTTTTATTTAGAAAACGATTCAAATCAGTCTTAAATCAGCCTTTAGGCTCGATAGTCAGACACTCACGTCAATCTGGCAACCTGAGCTTGCGTGGACTCATTAGAGGTAGAACCAAGTAAAGATGTGTGTTGATCCAGGAGTGCAATACCTAGTTCAACCACTGGGTGTCAGACTTACATACTGCACCTTTAAAGTGAATTATGGCCAGTTTTTATATTTCACTCATAGTCAAAAATAGGACGAAATATTTTGTTTAAAAAGGACTGAAATACAAGAATGTAGTAGTTCTACATTTGCGAAGTGAAAAATTAATATTAATTTAAATGATAGAATATTTAAAGATGTTTAAATAGTGTAAAACGAATGGGTGTATGTCATTTAAATTGTAATGATGCTTTAAAATTTTAAAACGCTTGAATTTATAAAATGTGTCAAAATCATTTAAAAATATGAGATATTTTTATTAATCCGGGTGCAGGTCACCTTAAATTCACCGTAAATTATTACACAAAATTTAGATAAAAAATGTGTTGTTATTTATATTATATTTTAAGTTTAATATTACAATTAAAAAGAAAGTTCATGATCAAAAATGTTGCTGTAAATTTAAGGTGAATTAAGCTCAGATGTTTATTAACTTAAACTAAAATATCTCCAAACTCTCATTTCTGCAAAGCCAAAATAAGTATGCAAATAAATAAAACAGTGAATTCAGGCAATGAGGAATAATTAGAAATATTAAGAACAAATGTGTTCAATCAGTAAAACATTCATATATTAGTCTACATTAAGTATTCTTTAATAATGTCACAATGCAAAAAGCTTTTATTTCGTTTTTAATTGGGCTGAGTTTTTATTATCCTTTACGAAATGTGTTTAAAGGTCGATCAGTATGAATGTGTCTGTGTATTAGTTTCCCAGATTGTTCAATCCATGAACACAAATGCAAATAATACAAATAAAATTAAATAATTAGCTTTTTTTCTTCTTCTTAATCGAGTCAGAATGAATAGCTGGAGCCACACACACACTCATGCACACACATGCACACACACTCGTTTAATGCATTATGATTAGAGCTGCACAATAACACTGTAAATAAATGAGTATTCTGATCATGTCCTGCGTTATAACATTCACTATAGAAATACTCTTTCTATTAAATAATCATTTAAATATAATCCTACAAAAATAAACAGATATTTCTCTGATCTGAAATCTAATTAAGACTAAAAAAACTACACTAATGTGCAAACCTTTAGATTTTAAAGCATTATGAAGGATTCTGATTGGCTGTTGTCATTTTCCCGCCATTAGTGTTGATTTTCAGCTCTAGGTTTCTTTTTT